ATAATCACAGATAGTAAAATGGAAACCTAAAAGTCTAAAAAAAAAAAAATACATAATTCAATACATGAAATGTATGACATCAAAACCAGCAGTATAATATAAGCCAAGGATAATTTAGTCACTGACTACACGAGTTATTCTGTCTATAGATTTGATTAGAATGCTTCCCACATTTTACTTTGAAGGAGCTTAGTGACTTACTGTCAGTGACAGTTGTTGGAAGCTCATTCTAGAGGATTGGCCCATTATATTTAAAAGAGTTTTTGTATTTAGCTGTTTTGTGTTTTGGTATAACAAATTTCCCCATTGTGGAAGATCTTGTTTGAATGGCATGGACACTACTTACTGGGGTGTGACATTTTAATTAATCAGGACAAAGGTTGTTCATTGTCTTTAACATTAAGACACACTCATTGTATTTAACTCTGTGGGTGAAAGGCAACCACTTTAATTTGACAAATAATTGTGCACTAGGAACACTGTAGTCAACATCCAAAATAATCCGTAGTGCTCTTTTTTGGACTCGCTCAAGTTTCTTTACTAGTTTCTGTGAGCAGTGCCACCATATATTTAAGCAATAATCAATAAATGGTAGAATAAAACAATTAGATAGGTGATTCTAGCTGACACTGGAAGATGTTTTTTGATTCTACAAAACTGTAACAATTTAAAATTTATTTTTTTAGTACATCTTGAGCTTGTATATCCCAGGATAAGATGTCATCTATAATCACCCCTAAAAGTTTTTCTTTCTTGACATTTTGTAACTTACAATTACCATGTGAGATATCAACACCTTTGGAAAGTCTTTGTTTCTTCTGCCTACTACCAATTACCATGGGTTTAGTTTTTTTCTGAATTTATAACCATTTTATTGACATTACACCAATTTCTAACTTTGTCAAAGTCATCTTGCAGGCATGATTCAATGACAATAATATTATTGTCTGCTTTTTGCATAGACGTATCATCTGCATACATAAAGAGTTCACATTGATTTGAACAAAGTGGCAGGTCATTAACATATACTAAAAACATCAAGGGTCCTAGTATGGATCCTTGAGGAACACCAGTTTTGACTTCAAGGGAATTACTGAGTACATTGCTGAATGAAACTTTTTGGAGTCAATTAGATAAGTAGGAAGCAAAGAAACTTATAGTATTTTTGGAACAGCCATATAATTTAATTTTTTGAAGGAGGATCTTGTGGTTTAATAGGTGGAAGACTTTACGAAAGTCTATATATATTACACCTATAAGATTCCCTTTGTCCAGTTCATCATACCATTGGTTGGTGAGAGCAGTAAGGGCAGTCTGACAGGAGTGCATATTACGAAAATCAGACTGGTTATCAAGGAGTACGTTATGTGTGTTTAAAAACTGGTAAGAAGTAGACTGAATATGTTTCTCTAAAAGTTTAGACAAAACTGGAAGAATGGAAATTGGTCGATAATTACGGACTGAACATTTCTAACCCTTTTTAAAGACAGGATTTATTTTAGCATGTTTGAATTGGTCAGGAAAAACATTCATTTCAATACACATGTTTAATAGCTTTGTTACTGAATCAGACACAGAATCTGCTAGTATTCTCAGATATTTGGCTGAAATTCCATCTATGCCCGTAGCTTTCTTACAGTCAAGATTTTTCAGGAATTTGCTAACAAAATGGTATGAAATCTTTGGTATATCATAGAATGTATTTTAAGGGAGCTTTTGAGAAACAAAATTGGAATTTTATGAAAACGATGTGCAGGAGTTTCATCACTTGTTTCAGATATGTATTCTTTGACTATGTCAGTAAAATAACTATTAAAGGAATTTGCTATTTCTACAGGATCATCAATTTGTTTCTCATCTGCTAATATAAAGTCTGGTATACTATTACACTTGTTTGGAACAAGTTGTTTGAAATATTCCCAATACTTGTTGGGTTCTTTTTTGCATGAATCAAGAAAATTTTTGTAAAATTCACTTTTTGCTTTTTTAACCAGAGCTGTTACACGATTTCTCCATTTTTTACACAGATTACTAAGTGAGATATGTTTATAGTTATCTCTAATTCTGATCACTGTAGACAGGTCTTCATTCCACCAATCAGGAATAGTTTTGTATTTTACCCTTTTTTCTTTAAAAGGCACATTTTTATTTAGGATATTAAGGAAAGTTTTACTCCATGATTTGATTGTCTCGTTTATATTCTCAGTGGATTTCACTTCAGGGAGATCCCAGTGAGCAGAATCTAGGTCATTTTTGAAAACTGATTCATCAAAGTTTTTGGTGCATCGGTATCGAATGGTATTGATTCCAGATGATTTTTTGACATCAGAATTCTTTATTGCATACACTGGGTAGTGATCACTAACACTAACTAGTGTCACACACGGGGAATAAGTCAGGTATGTTTGTCCAAATATGGTCGATGCTACTGGAAGTGGTTTCTGTAGTTCTTGTTGGGACATTAACAATATTATAGAGTCCATAACTCTCCATGTCAGAACAGAGAGACTTATAAGAAGTACACATGTTGAGAGAGTTTCAATTGAAGTCTCCCATTACCACCATGGAAACATTATCTGATGATAAAGGGTCAAGTGTAGCTTCCAGATGTTCCAGCCAAATCGAATTTGTCACTGTTATACACTTTACATATTTACTGTCTGTACTTTTTTAGTTTACATTCCTGTCAAAATACATGTAGTGATAAAGTTTTATTAATAATCCAGATTGTAGTAGACAAATGCTGCACATAGCCAATCTACATACCAGAATCAATGTACTAGATAGGAATCTTGATAAATGGGCTCATCATCAGTCACTATCAGTTGCAGATGCCACTTCTGGTGAGAGGTAGCCATTTTCCATTTATGAAATTTGACCTGTAACAAACTTAGTCAGCTGAACCACAGTAATTGCTGTCTTTGATGCATGTTATCTAAATTCTGCAAATTACAGAATTATATGATTCACCAGCACCACACCCATCCATTACAAACATGTGTAAGGAATTAACTGTTGACATTTATTGACAACAGGAATTTATCAACTGATATACTTCAGGATATAATCCTTTGGTGTTTGACCAGAATTAAAACAACATAAAATCCAACATAACACACCATCTTGGACTTTTGTGATCTTTTACACTTTGTTTTCTGTATCTGTACTTAAAGACTTAACATGGCAATCTGTATGATGTTTTGGTGAAAATTCGTCAGTGAACTGCTTCTTAGACAGTGTAGATGATGGCATGATTCAGCCTCAGCAGCCTCAATGTTTCCTGGTTGCTAATTAAGGTACTTCTTTGGAAGGCTTGGGTAAATTTCAATGAAATTTGCAGGAATAGTCAACACAAATCACAGATTTTTTATGGATTGCAACTTGGTGGACCATGTAAGATTTTTAGGAAACAAAAACAAGTATATCAACTTGTTTCTTGACCTCAAAAAACTGGCTATTATAGTGAAAATTGCAAAAATTCTAGCACTTTTGTTAAATCAAATGAAAACTAAATATTTTCACATTATTTTTTTCTTAATATCTCGATCCAAGTATCATACCCCTGTAATGAAAAACGAAGATTTATTTTTTAAAAAGTTGCTTCAATAATAACAGAGAACATCTGCTATTAAGGATAGAAATAAGAATGATGTGTAAAAATAAACTATTTTTGTGTCGCGTGCAGAGCTGGCGGACACATAGGGATCACTTTGTCTGTTGTCACACGTCATCATCGTCTTCGTCCATACGAAAGTTTACCAGACTTTTTTCGATAATGCTTTGAGTTATCAAAATGAAATTGGGCATATGGCTTTTTGTTGCAAGGGTACAGATAAAGATTGATTCCCAGCTGTCTATGACCCTTTTTGGCAGAGTTATGCCCCTTTCAACTTAGAAAATTTCCTGGGAATATTGTTTTCCAGACTTTTTTGGCTTATGCTTTGAGTTATCAAAATGAAATTTGGTATATGTCTTCTTGTTGCAAGGGTACAGATTAAGTTTGATTCCTGGCTATCTGTGACCCTTCTTGGCTGAGTTATAACCCTTTGAACTTGGAAAATTTCTCAGGAATATTGCTTTTCACAGTTTTCCCTTTTTGCTTCAAGTTATAGAAATGAAATTTGGTATTACAACTTTATGGTTGAACATTGCACATCCAGTTCGATTTCTGGGTGACCGTGACACTTTATGCAGGTGACACATACAGTTCCGAGGAACTCTTGTCTGTTTGTACATATGTTCTGATTACTGTAGAAAAAAAACATAGTGTGGAAACATTTAATTTTTGCTTTTAATCTACTTTATTCCAACAAATCTTTCAAAAAATCATCTTCAGAAAAATAATTAATTCTGGATTTTTTTTTTACTTCTAAGAAGAGTATATCCTTTCCAGTTATTTTTAATTTCATGTTTTTTTTTTTTTTAAAATAGTACAGTTTGGTTTGCAATTGATTTTGTGAATGAATAGTATTGAGTAGTCATGTTATTGAACAGTACTAATATCTTTGTCAATTATAATGGTTTGTTGGACAACACCCAGAATAGTGTTGAGTAGTCATGTTATTGAGCAGTACTAATATCTTTGTCAATTATAATGGTTTGTTGGACAACACACAGACACTCAATCAATGTAAAGCCAACATGAGATTGTTTGACAGTGTGGAGTTTTTACCTATCTAATTCCATTAATTCCAGTATTACTGTTAAGGTCCGTATAAACAAGCATTTATTGAAAAAATACGCCTTTAATTGTTTCTTAACTTCAGTTGAATTTGTGTTGTTTCACTTAGACCAAGAGGAAAGTACAGTAACGAGAAGAAAAACTAAAGTGTGTAGAATAGTATTATATTATAATTGGATTATGATCATATAGCTTGGTTGAACAGCTGATTCACTGATGTTTTATTTACATCAAAGTTACATGGATATGTAATCAACTTGATGTAATGTGTGGGAGTATATAGCTATATGTTGGAAAGATGTTGATTTTTCTGTGACAGGTGCACTGTGCTACAGGGCCTACTGCCATGCCTACTGGGGTTGTAAGAAGGTTGACTGTATGGGTTGCATTGGAAAGTTCAGAGGTAAGTGAGCACTCATATAAGATAAACACATATAACATCTTATCTTATTTATTAATATTGCAGTATTTTTTTTATAAAGTGAAGGCCTATGCCACTATCTTGGAAAAGCAAGAAAGAAGACAGACAAATATTTTCAAACCATGTATTATCACAAAAGGAACAGGAGTCTGTGACTTTCATATGCAATGAAACCTTTCAAACTTCAGGAGGACAAATAAGTGTTAAAGGGGCTGTGTATCACTCCATAATTTGCTTTTGGTCAGGTGTGAAATATTAAATGGTACTTGTTCTGGTGTGAAATATTAAGGGGTGTTAGTTCAGGTGTGAAATATTAAGGGGTACATGTTCAGGTGTGAAATATTAAGGGATACAAGTTCAGGTGTGAAATGTTAAGGGGTGTTAGTTCAGGTATGAATATTAAGGGGTACTAGTTCAGGTGTGAAATATTAAGGGGTGTTAGTTCAGGTGTGAAATATTAAGGGGTGTTAGTTCAGGTATGAAATATTAATGGGTACTAGTTCAGGTGTGAAATATTAAGGGGTACTAGTTCAGGTGTGGAATATTATGGGGTGTTAGTTCAGGTGTGAAATATTAAGGGGTGTTAGTTCAGGTATGAAATATTAATGGGTACTAGTTCAGGTGTGAAATATTAAGGGGAACAAGTTCAGGTTTGAAATGTTAATGGGTACTAGTTCAGGTGTGAAATATTAAGGGGTGTTAGTTCAGGTGTGAAATATTAAGGGGTACAAGTTCAGGTTTGAAATGTTAAGGGGTACTAGTTCAGGTGTGAAATATTAAGGGGTGTTAGTTCAGGTGTGAAATATTAAGGGGTGTTAGTTCAGGTATGAAATATTAATGGGTACTAGTTCAGGTGTGAAATATTAAGGGGTACTAGTTCAGGTGTGAACTATTACGGGGTGTTAGTTCAGGTATGAAATATTAAGGGGTACTTGTTCAAGAGTGAAATATTAAGGGGTACAAGTTCAGGTTTAAAATGTTAAGGGGTACTAGTTCAGGTGTGAAATATTAAGGGGTGTTAGTTCAGGTGTGAAATATTAAGGGGTGTTAGTTCAGGTATGAAATATTAATGGGTACGAGTTCAGGTGTGAAATATTAAGGGGTACTAGTTCAGGTGTGATATCACAGATGAATTTGAGTGTCAAGGTTGTAGATGAAAAGGTCAAGGTGAACATTATTATTTACAGAAAAAAAATCCATCACTCTCGTGGCTTCTTGTCTTGAGGGATCTTGATACAATTTCATATTTATATAAATGACCATGATATCATAGATGAGTTCAGGTTTCAGGGTTGTAGGGTCAAGGACAAGGTAGCTGTGACTAATTTTAGGAAATCTTTGTCAGCAAGTGAGCTAGTGACTTCGTTCCTTGACGTATTCTTCCATATTCTTTATTGCACTGATGTTAATATGGAATAGTAAGGGGATTGGTATCATTAGAGATGTTAAAAATATAAAACAACACACATGTGATGGCTCTAGCTTATGTTAATATGGAATAGTAAGGGGATTGGTATCATTAGAGATGTTAAAAATATAAAACAACACACATGTGATGGCTCTAGCTTATGTTAATATGGAATAGTAAGGGGATTGGTATCATTAGAGATGTTAAAAATATAAAACAACACACATGTGATGGCTCTAGCTTATGTTAATATGGAATAGTAAGGGGATTGGTATCATTAGAGATGTTAAAAATATAAAACAACACACATGTGATGGCTCTAGCTTATGTTAATATGGAATAGTAAGGGGATTGGTATCATTAGAGATGTTAAAAATTAAAACAACACACATGTGATGGCTTCAGAATGTGATAGAGGCAGATTTGTGCTATTTGTGATTGAATTTAGAGGTTTCTGGTGACATTTTACTAATGATAATGAGAAAGATGTGAATATTTACTGAGTATGACAATATTTCAATATTAAGTCAAATGTCCGTGATATCAGACTTGGCATCAATAATGTTATCTCTTCTATTGACATCTTACAGATATCAGATTTGGGAAGAAGTGTCTATCCGCTATCATCCTTGAAAACCAGTTTGAATCACAAGTTTTGAAAGTATGGATTAAACTTTATTTTTCAAAATATCTTACATGTTTGGCACTTCAATGCTGTATGTTGGTTTTAAACCAAGACAAGTTTTAAATATTTTTCATAGAAACTCAAATTTTAAAAAGATAGAATTTTATTTTGAATGTCGGTCTCAGGAATTCAGATTCTGAATATCACTGTTTCTCTCTCAGAAATTAATATTTTTAATGTTTTTCTTTCCAAATAGTTTGATTGTCTGTTTCCGTTATATTTGATATGTCCTCTATATTATTTGATATGGAATAGCCATCTGTGTATAGATTTATGTAAAATGCCTAACCTAACAAATATGAATTGTATTTTCAGAACTATTTGGAAAAGAAGAATTTAAGTGTGAAGTATGTACTTGACCAGTGCCTTGCTAAAGTGGATACAGGAGTGTTTTCCTTTAGAGGTATCTTATCAAATTTACATTTAATCTGTCTATTATTTGAGAATACAGTTTATTTATAGTTAAATTCACTTCAGAGTAGTGACAACTTACAAAACATTTTATATGTTCATCTTATGATGATCATCTGTCCCTGATCATTTGTCATCACATGATCGTTGTCTGTCCCTGATCATTTGTCATCACATGATCGTTGTCTGTCCCTGATCATTTGTCATCACATGATCGTTGTCTGTCCCTGATCATTTGTCATCACATGATCGTTGTCTGTCCCTGATCATTTGTCATCACATGATCATTGTGTCCCTGATCATTTGTCATCACATGATCATTGTCTGTCCCAGAGCATTTGTCATCACATGATCATTGTCTGTCTGTGATCATTTGTCATCACGTGATCATTGTCTGTCCCTGATCATTTGTCATCACATGATCATTGTCTGTCCCTGATCATTTGTCATCACATGATCATTGTCTGTCCCTGATCATTTGTCATCACATGATCGTTGTCTGTCTGTGATCATTTGTCATCACATGATCGTTGTCTGTCCCTGATCATTTGTCATCACATGATTATTGTCTGTCCCTGATCATTTGTCATCACATGATGATTGTCTGTCCCTGATCATTTGTCATCACATGATCATTGTCTGTCCATGATCATTTGTCATCACATGATCGTTGTCTGTCCCTGATCATTTGTCATCACATGATCATTGTCTGTCCCTGATCATTTGTCATCACGTGATCATTGTCTGTCCCTGATCATTTGTCATCACGTGATCATTGTCTGTCCCTGATCATTTGTCATCACATGATCATTGTCTGTCCCTGATCATTTGTCATCACGTGATCATTGTCTGTCCCTGATCATTTGTCATCACATGATCGTTGTCTGTCTGTGATCATTTGTCATCACATGATCGTTGTCTGTCCCTGATCATTTGTCATCACATGATTATTGTCTGTCCCTGATCATTTGTCATCACATGATCGTTGTCTGTCCCTGATCATTTGTCATCACATGATTGTTGTCTGTCCCTGATCATTTGTCATCACATGATCATTGTCTGTCCCTGATCATTTGTCATAACATGATGATCATCTGTCCCTGATCATTTGTCATCACATGATCATTGTCTGTCCCTGATCATTTGTCATCACATGATCGTTGTCTGTCCCTGATCATTTGTCATCACATGATCGTTGTCTGTCCCTGATCATTTGTCATCACATGATCGTTGTCTGTCCCTGATCATTTGTCATCACATGATCGTCATCTGTCCCTGATCATTTGTCATCACATGATCGTTGTCTGTCCCTGATCATTTGTCATCACATGATGATCATCTGTCCCTGATCATTTGTCATCACATGATCATTGTCTGTCCCTGATCATTTGTCATCACATGATTATTGTCTGTCCCTGATCATTTGTCATAACATGATCATTGTCTGTCCCTGATCATTTGTCATCACATGATTATTGTCTGTCCCTGATCATTTGTCATAACATGATGATCATTGTCTGTCCCTGATCATTTGTCATCACATGATTATTGTCTGTCCCTGATCATTTGTCATAACATGATGATCATTGTCTGTCCCTGATCATTTGTCATAACATGATGATCGTTGTCTGTCCCTGATCATTTGTCATCACATGATCGTTGTCTGTCCCTGATCATTTGTCATAACATGATTATTGTCTGTCCCTGATCATTTGTCATCACATGATCGTTGTCTGTCCCTGATCATTTGTCATCACATGATCATTGTCTGTCCCTGATCATTTGTCATCACATGATCGTTGTCTGTCCCTGATCATTTGTCATAACATGATGATCGTTGTCTGTCCCTGATCATTTGTCATCACCTGATCGTTGTCTGTCCCTGATCATTTGTCATAACATGATTATTGTCTGTCCCTGATCATTTGTCATAACATGATGATCATTGTCTGTCCCTGATCATTTGTCATCACATGATCGTTGTCTGTCCCTGATCATTTGTCATCACATGATGATTGTCTGTCCCTGATCATTTGTCATCACATGATGATTGTCTGTCCCTGATCATTTGTCATCACATGATCATTGTCTGTCCCTGATCATTTGTCATCACATGATCGTTGTCTGTCCCAGATCATTTGTCATCACATGATCGTTGTCTGTCCCTGATCATTTGTCATCACATGATCGTTGTCTGTCCCTGATCATTTGTCATAACATGATCGTCATCTGTCCCTGATCATTTGTCATAACATGATCATTGTCTGTCTGTGATCATTTGTCATAACATGATCATTGTCTGTCCCTGATCATTTGTCATAACATGATCGTCATCTGTCCCTGATCATTTGTCATCACATGATCGTCATCTGTCCCTGATCATTTGTAATACCTGTCACATGATTACCTGTCACATGATTACCTGTCACATGATCATTATCTATCAAATGATCAACAATTGTCTTGTCAACTTGATAATTTTACGACAGCTAGAACATTATATAATATGTATCAAATTAATTTAGAATCAGGAATTTTTTATCTGTCAGTCAGACATATTGATTTGATATCAACATGCCATGAAGAGGTTTTTTAGGGGAATAACTTTACTGCTGTATACTTCAAATATCTATGGAACAGGATTTCCTGTAGAATTGTATATGCTTATGAGTGGAAATTCCTTAATAGATATACAATTTTGAATGTATGGTAACTTTATGTAGGATGGAATGTAGAATTTGTTATTTATTTTCCTTCTGAACATTGTCTGTCTGGAATTTTATATTTTTATTAATTCACGTTTAACCCTCTGGATTCATAAACCATGTCACTGTTACTGTTATATGTAATGATGATGTTATTGCTGTACGGGGATTGTTACTGTTACATGTAATGATGATGTTATTGCTGTACGGGGATTGTTACTGTTATATGTAATGATGATGTTATTGCTGTACGGGGATTGTTACTGTTATATGTAATGATGATGTTATTGCTGTACGGGGATTGTTAATGTTATATGTAATGATGATGTTATTGCTGTACGGGGATTGTTACTGTTATATGTAATGATGATGTTATTGCTGTACGGGGATTGTTAATGTTATATGTAATGATGATGTTATTGCTGTACGGGGATTGTTACTGTTATATGTAATGATGATGTTATTGCTGTACGGGGATTGTTACTGTTATATGTAATGATGATGTTATTGCTGTACGGGGATTGTTACTGTTATATGTAATGATGATGTTATTGCTGTACGGGGATTGTTACTGTTATATGTAATGATGATGTTATTGCTGTACGGGGATTGTTACTGTTATATGTAATGATGATGTTATTGCTGTACGGGGATTGTTACTGTTATATGTAATGATGATGTTATTGCTGTACGGGGATTGTTACTGTTATATGTAATGATGATGTTATTGCTGTACGGGGATTGTTACTGTTATATGTAATGATGATGTTATTGCTGTACGGGGATTGTTACTGTTATATGTAATGATGATGTTATTGCTGTACGGGGATTGTTACTGTTATATGATCCCAATAATTCTTTTATGTGTTATTTGACTTAATTACTTTTAAGATTGCCAATTTTTTTTTTATAAAAATGTCTGCTTAAGTGTTGTTATATAAAACCTTTACAAAGATTCTATTTTAATTGAAATCTACCAAATTACCCTCATGAGTTTATAGAAGTAAGATAGGTAGCATGTGAGGTATTCAGACCCATTAGGCCTCATGTATTTACTTCTTAGTGTTGTAGGCTTTTCCAGTAATAAAAAAACATTATTTGAAGATTTTTATAAAGTGAATGATTAGACTAAATTGGAATGATACATTGATGGCTCTGTTACAGATCCCACTACAATCCAAATAAATGGTGGCACTCCAATATGTTATGCTTGTGCACTACGGAAGTTTAAAGACCTAGCCTATCAGTACAGGTTCAGTATTCCAAGGAATGATTTACCTGGTGAGTAATGCAAGTAAAGCAGTAGAGGGCGTGTTACATCTACTTTCACTTTCTTATTCTTATGTAACATTACTGAGTTGTACTTTGTAACTTTTTTATTCTAATGTAAACATATCAAACAACAGTAAAGTTATATCTTAACTTAGAGGTGACATGGGTGTTTAAAAATGCATTGTAATATACAATTATTTTTAAATGTTATGTATAAGTTTTTTTATTAATGTAACAATTATGTGAAAGTTGTAATATGTTCAGTCAACATGCCATCTTTTTACAGAAGAAATACTAGATAATCATTCGTTGGTTTTACAATCAATTAGATTGCCTGTATATGATAAGGATACAGATCTTACCCATTTATATTGGGTTCCCAAACTTCACAAAAATCTTTTTTGTTATTTCTGGCCCGTCTAGCTGTCCAACCAAACCTTTGACACTTTACCACTCTCATGATCAAATCTGTTTGATAGTCTAATTGTGATACTGTTTACTCAAGAAGTGGAATTAATAGTATGTAAAGTTTAAAGATTTCCAAAGAGCTTCTATAAGAACCAGATTTGTCCACTGTGTACACCTCTATACCCCATTCTAAACTGTTAGAACATATCTCATTCTCTTGTTATGAGAGCTTTCTTTATTGAGAATAGTGAATGGCAGAACAATATATAGTTAGAAGGAATGTACGGAGGCTGAAAGCATAAAGATGATCAAGTTTGTGATTGATAACATCATTGTTGAGTTTGCTGTTATGAACTAACTGTTGGCTGAATTGGTTTTGTTTTCATATGAGGCTTAATTTATCGAAGAGGGTATCAAGACAGGTTCCAAAGACATTGCAAAGTCACTTAATTAAGTTTTTGGATGATGTCTTATCTTTTAATAACAAGAAATGTGTTGATCACATCAATTGTATATACAATATATGCCCACCAGAATTGGAAATAAAATACAAACCACTTCTTTTGATATTTTCCTACAATGAAATAAACATGAACAGCTTTCCACCAAGCTATATGATGAGTATGATGATTTCAGTTTACCTGTTGTGATTTTTCCGTTTCTGGATAGCAACGTTGTTGTATCCCCAACTTATGGTGTTTACATGTCGTAGTTGATTTGATGTTCAAGGGCCTGTTCCCATGATTTTCATGCAAGAAGTCATTAACAAGGACAAATCTGTAACAGAGGGTTTCAAAAGATGGCGGCTGAAGATAATTATAGGGATGTTTTATAGCCATAATGATGATCTGATTAGTTTGCCTGATGGTTCCGTTATTGTTTACCTTGTTCTCATTTGAGAACCTGACATTACTTACCTGGCAGATTTCGTTTATGAAGTAAAAGAAGCTTACTGTTCTTGAACACCTGGTCTTGTTTTTCATGTAGTTTTTCAAGAGTCTCAGTGTAAATTTCTGTTGTTCACATTTTGCCCTAGTTTTATTATATTTGGCTTGAATTATGATTATGTTAACATTTTTTGTTACTTGTATGATATGCTTTCAAGTCCTTGTTTAGTCTCCTGAAGTCGAAGTTAACCAAAGGAAACTTTCAAGGTTAAATGTCATGGAGGATTGTAAAGTGTTACTTGGAGTCAAGACCTCTTATAATCTTCCACAAATAGATTATGAGAAATTAGACATATTACAGGAAAATAGGAAAATGGACGATAGGTGACATATCCAGACATATATATTCAGTCAAACTTCAATGTTTTGAAGTTCAAATGTAACCAAAAAACTTTGAAACATCAAGACTTAGAATAATTTATGGTGGGTTATATCGACGTTTTCATGTTCATGGCTGTATATAATTGATGACACGATAATTCTCCCAGAACAAACACAACAAATACCAATACACAAGTTTAAATTAAAAGATGCATTGTTAAAACAAAACAATTTCATTCATGGAAAAAATAACTTTAAAAAGAAATCAATGAGAAATCAGTAATGTTTACTTATGTTTACATTTGTCTTCATGTCACACAGTATATGTATTTTACGGGTGGATTTAAAATGAAACGACGTGTAGTATTAAAGTGGTCTTCAAGTGTTACAGTTATTACTTACAGACTGATACATCAACATTATAGGCACTAATAAATTTAAAACCAAGCAAATTAATAACAGAATGTATTCTGTCCAGAGACGACAGCACTAACATCACACATCTTGGTCAGTAGAAATTACACGGGTGTTTGCCTATGTCCTGATAGTCTGAATCAATCACAAAACAACTGACGCTTTGGGAATGAGAGAAATCATCACACAAGTGATAAGATTTTCTCTGTTTTCAAAATTCAATAAATTAGACCTAAGTAAATCACATTACCGCAATGGCGGTCGTGAACATCACACGACGTCCCATTATCTTTGATAAAATATCATGGCTTGGGCATAAGCAATTAAATTCTTATCTGTGTGCAGTCATCAATTAACCTCGTAACACAGAGTCAATGACTGTGGGATATTATAATCCCATCGTCAGGTAGCACTATTTGTTGAAATATGTGAAATTTTGCCACCAGGCGAAATTACCTGTACAGTACAGGTATATGTTTTGTTCGAATCATGAGGTGTCAATGACTATGTTGTCATATAGCTTATGGTGTAAGGAAAAACTTTGATACATCGATAAATTTGATTTATAAAACTTTCATCCATCAAGGGTAAAGCTAGTAGTAATATATAGGATTAAAGTTCGGGAAAACACTTTGATACATGGAGAAATTCTGTATTGACTGCATTAAACTCTGAGGCTACTTTTGATAATTAAAATACATTATGAGTATTGCCTTTATTTCAGTGTCAATAGAAACGCTACTAATGTACATGGTTGGTCTTGAAAAATACAAAAGTCATCTATGGCCTCTACTATGACCATCGTGTGCCATTCACCTTACATTCAGTGTTCCGTGTTGGTTCGAAATCCGATATAGCCGCCATCATCAATTTAAAAAAAAAAATTAAAACTTCCTCTTGATTTCACTGGTGCCATGGAGTAAATTTTTTGTTGGAATGTTAAGAAAATGAAATGAAGAATTACTTTTGCCTTTACTACTGAAAGATTCTGAACAGTTTGAATCATTTTATAATTGCTATTACTATTATTCCTGATTTATCATGGTTAAGTCTTTAAAAGTCAGGTTCTCTCTTGTATTTGCAGTGTACTCCAGACAAAAACCCTGATGTAATGAAATACAGATTTTTTTGCAAAGTGGGTTTTAACAGAGGGAACATTTGTGCAGATTTATAACATGTCTGCTGCTACAGCATTCCGTTAGTCAAGGCCACACATTTAGATGTAAACACTGACAAATATGTTGTAAATGAATATTTAAGGTCAGTTGTGAATATTTCAACAGCCTCATTGAAATACTCAAAAACTCATGATCTAACGCAGCATTTGACACCAAGGAAACAATACCAAGCTATTAGCCCCCAGGCTTGAAATTAACTACAACATTTTGTATGCTTTCAAATTGTTAATATATTTCAAATGTTAAAATGTTTAAATGTAAACCCCTCTCACTGTATACTGTATACTGTAAGACCCCAGGTCAAGCACTTTTCACTAGTACAGTGGTTAAGGCTAGTACTGCTGTCATTGTGAACTTACCAGGATGTTTGAACTATTCTACATACTAAATATCAGCCTCATGTAAGTGTCACTGTAATTTGTCAAACATAAGTTTATTTCATCAGATTTGATATGTTGTTATTACAGCTAGGACTGCCATTATACTTTTTGTTTATGAAACCATTTTTCGGAGAGCCATAATTGTTTATTGATGATGGAATATTAAACTTCCTCTATTATATATAATGACATGATTAAGATTGTATGTATACTCTATAAGTATTTTGATAGTGTAGACTGTGATTGACAGCTTGTGAAATTAGTTTGTTGATTGTTATTAGAAACGGTTGTCGTGGAGATCATTATCAGTGTAATTAACTGGGATATATAGCATTATTACACCATTTATCAGAATTAATTTATGGAATATATTAAAAACTGTTGGGCAAATAATTAATAGTGTTGGTGTTAGTGGTACTTGCCATTAGTTGAATCTGTTTGGTACCACTTTGTTAGAACATTGCCCTACCATGTAATATTTAGGGGTAAATAGCACTACCGTTTTACTTGTTAAATCAGTGAAGTTGGATTTGTCTATCCATTACTCCACTGTTGTAAAGGTTGGATTAAGGTTCAGTCATTTAAAGAGGATTTTTCTGAGACATTTATGATCTTATTAATTATTTCAATATTTGACGGATTTTATTTTAACTCTTAAGGAAGCTCTGGCTAGATGTGTGAGTAATAGCCAGCAGGTTCAATCTGGAAGTCTGTAGAGTACTTGTAGGATTTGACTGGTGTTCTTAAATCTATGTTATAAACTTGATAGTCATGAATAAGTAAGAAAATTATAAAAAAAATATTTGGGATGCTGTTACTGTTGGGTGTTAATTATATTACAACTGGAGGAATTAACTGGTAACTGCAGATTCTAAACAGACATGTAAAATCTAATTAATTCAAAACAACTTGGTTCATTTCAAATTTAATAACAGTACACTTCCTATTATTTCAACGTCAAAGAAGTATGGAACTGACAATTTGAATATGTATTAAATGGGTCCATTTGTAGCACTGGTAAGATAACTTTTGTTTTCTGTCGGTACACTTGGTCTGCAATCTATGATATGTACCTGTTTATATGGACAGATGAGGCTGAGCCGGTTTTAAACATACCTATTATCTGATGAGCGATTCAAACATTATTCATTATTTACATATATATATATATATATAAGGACAAACCTTCAGGACTTATCCATATCAATTATATGATTACATGAGGAGGGGGTGGGGGAGATTTTGGCAAACTTCTGGGACTTATCCATATCAATTATATGATTACATGAGGAGGGGGTGGAGGAGATTTTGGCTTACTTCCGGGACTTATTCATATCAATTATATCATGATATGCTTGGTTAGGACAAACCTGTGGGACTGTAGATTTACCAGCACTAACAAAGTTTGCATTCTGCAATAATAAAAGAAAAGACACACAAAAAAACCAATTAACCTTGAACGTATCTCTAGGACATGATTTCTTTTTATTTTGTAGCTGAAGTGACATCAAGGCCTGATTGTCATTGGGGGAAAAACTGTCGAACACAGCGCCACAACATCAACCATGCACAGTAAGTTGATAATTACACAGTAAGTTGTAACAAACCTTAAGTTGATAATTAAACATTATATCATTTATGTTACATTCTATTGTGTCGAAAATAGTACCACAACATCAATCAATTACGCTTAGTTGTAACAATACTTAAATAGATAATGACATGTTATAATTGCTACATTAGATAGTGTCAAACACGGCACCACAACATCCATCATGCGCTGTAGATACGAGAAGCCATTACATATTTGATAACTCGTAGTAGTAATCACGTAAGTATAGAAAGTATAAGAGAGAAGCTATGTTGAATATCTTTTACACGAATAGTAGTATACTTCCAACATTACTGCTAAGACAAACACAGGTAATGTTTAATGGTTTATTATTGTTTTTATCAGAAGTTTGGGAACTGTTTTCTAGTGACTGAGTTTAACAAATGTATATCCAGTTGATGTTGTTCAATCTTAATATAGACAATATCTTCGTTGGTAACATATACACTTCATAACTTTAGATATAACTTTGTTATTTTTGTAATAGTTGTAAATAGTAAAACCCAGGCCATACAAACTATATTGTGCTTACTGTCCCTATCAAGTGTACTTAATCTACTAAACAAGCTGCTGATATACTAGTTTTACAATGAATTGGAAAAGAATTTATATATTGTATTGAGCAGCACTTTAAAGCTTTTAAGACGGTATGAACGTAAGCATGTATAATATGCTTCCCATTACAATAAATTAAAAAAAAGAACAACAAATTTTAAACAGTATAGTTGATAATTTGTTCTTGGTTGTTCAATATAATGGCCTGAATCTCACTATTATTTTCAGGAGATTTAATCACATCTGTGACCAAATAAGGCTGACATGATGTCTTGGATAAGTCTTACAAGTGTGTTTACCAACAACTTTTGGCAGTAGGATAATTGATGAGGAATACAGACAAATAGTTCTGGATGTAATGTAGAACTAGGGTGCCAGGATTATCTTTTTGTAAAGAAAGTGAGACATAAATTCCTCTCTGAGCATGACTGAATTAAAATATTGTTAATGATAAATGATGAAAAAATGATAAGCAGTTGTTTTATTTGTTTTTTTGTTGGAATATTATATCTACTAGTAACGCATTTTCAAGATAGAAAAACGTGCATGTGTATACATGTACCTTATCATCTTATCATTGACATTGCTGTCAAAACGGGGAACTTTACATTCACGAAACTAATGTTTATGTTCTTTTGAAATTAGATTTCATGTTAATCATTACAAACAAATGAAGATGCATTTTGTATTTGAGTTTGAAAAGTAGTAAAAGTATATGAAAATTATGGATACCCTTAGCATCGCTGGCGAGACCTAGAAGGACGAAATAATTGTATAATATAGTTTAATTCATCATTTTGTACTACTGTAACTACATTTCCATTAAAAGATGTTATCTATTTGTGTGTCTTGTACAATCTGACAGTGATACACAGCACTTCATTGTGATACGTTATATGATGTATACATATCAATTGTTGTTAACTAAACCGTCTGTTTATGTCAACAATTCATCTTTATTATATATTTGGTTATTAGTTGCCAGGTTACAAGTTTTTCGTCTCCGTGACTCTTCTTACTACTAGCCGTTGTCTCACCCACGAACGTCAGTGTTCTGACGAGGTGTGTGGGCGACCTGTATCCACCTCATTAGGTCCATCTGTCTATCTAGGTGTGTGTGATGTTTAGTTTTATACAGGTTCTTTATTTCATCCCTCCTTGTGTAGGCTAATTTAAGTGAATTACATAAATACTTTAGGTTTCACTAGTTCCTGGCTATATTCTTTTTTTTTTTTTTTTTTTGTGGACAGTTTGTTTCTCATTAAGTTTCATGGATAGGTGAATTGCTATCGATATTGAGGTTGATTGTGAATTAAAAGCTGGTGACAGTACCACGAGCCCTTTTCTTTCTGATAAAGGTAAGATCATGTTATTTGTTACACTATTAATTGTTTGATGTTTTTGTACAAGTTTACGTATGATATTAATTGTTTGAGCGTCGTTAAATGATGTCATATACATTGCAGACTACATCATGACGTCATAGATTAACATGCTTTCTGAAGTAGTTCGAAAAACCTCGTGATTAGAGGATCTGAAATTCATGTCATTTCATAGAATTTATAAAACGAGTCTCGATCCAAGTGCTGAGGAATAAAAACAGAAAGCTGTACAAACCTCATACCACTTGGATATTTATCATTCGTTTCGTAAATCTGTAATCTGAAATGGAAGTGAATTTAAATCCGAAAAATGTTGATGTAGACAATAATATATTTGCAGATCTATTGATTTTGTTGTGATTAGTTTCATTATTACGAAACACTTTAAAGGGTATTTATTGTATAGACATTTGTTGTTTTAATGATTTTAAAGTAGTTAAAATATTCATGTTAACATTTTGAAAAAGTTTTTTTTCTATTTTGTGATACAAAATATACAGATCATAGCAAAGAACAAGATGCTGTCATATTAAAATATGATTTTTTTGTGAATAAAGTTGAAAAAAATTGATGGTTGAGTTTTTGATTCATTGATAGATAAGCAGTAATCTTTATTTGTAGGAATGATTGGACGAGAAATATGTCGATAATCACGCTTTCGTCTGCATTAATTTGTTAAAATAAAATATGGACATGCCAACAGAATCCCAATTAAAATCTAAATTGAATAAATCTTTTGCTACTTATTTACAAAGACAAAAAACTTGCATAGGAAACTTTGAAAAATAAAACGATAAGACCTGGCTGTCTGGAAGAGTAAGCGTCTTCAGCTTCATTGAATATACCCGATATGTAAACCTTGATAAGTCAAAGTAATTAATTTCGCGTTCTCAAAATATAACTGGATTAACAACATCGAAACCACCACTTATATTTACCAATGTCAAACAAGTTCACATCAGCCGAGAATATGATGTATTCCCATTGAGATTAAATTTCCTCGTAATCTTTATCAACAACACACCCACCTTGAAACACTATGCATCCTGGGTGAAAAAAAAAAGAACAAGAAAACACCAGCATGTGAACATAATTATAATTCAAAATAAAATTCAATAGACCTGGGGCAAATTATGAACAAAAGATTTCTGAAAAAGTAGAAGGAGAATAAGATTAGTTATTTCAAGGGTTCGATTCCCCGAATGGATGTGAAAAGGTATGGGTTCACCTGCCCAACCACGTGGGTTTTCCCCGGACACTCCGGTTTCCTCCCACACTAAGACCCCTCGCGCGCTTCCATCCGAGCCAACAAGAGTGATTCATACAAGTTGGAAAAATTTGCTTCGCAATTGTTGTAAAATAAATAAAGTTTATTATTATTATTATTATTATTATTATTATTATTATCAGAAAAGGATGTGTTTTCTGCTTCACCAACGACGCCCACCATGTAGATCATGGTCAATCCCAAATAAGTCCTCATTTGGAAATATCCCATAGAGAATAACTTGGTTACATATTTATATTTTGAGTCAGTTGTCTCTTCTTTGATACATTCGCAATGCTCTCAAATACATACATGTATCCCCACTCATTGAAATCAACTTTTTTGTACTGTTTAAGGATCAAATCCATTCTCGAATTTCGTGAGACAGATCTTTTTCTTCTTTTTTATGCTAAGAGCATTTTCAATGCTCTTCAGCATGTTGCTGTCGCCCCTGGCCCTGAGTATCAGTTCTTCGTTTTCATTGGTTCATAAATCGAAAGTTTACTCCTACTCCATCTGCCGGACATTACCGTAATCATTGGATTATCGCCCCTACAAGTTGCTGATGCTAGTCATTAAATGAAACAACCTTATCGATATTTTCTTCATTACTTGTACATCAAGAAAACGTTTTGTGTTGTATATTAATGATAATCAGACATCGAAATTTGTAAATACAATGACAAAGACTCACGTTTTATGGTGGTAAATTTTGCGAGGCGATGCCAATATGGCGGCTTAACTTTCTTTTCCGCGCGATGCATTGTGGGTGTCATATATCTTTCTTTTTTTTTCTTTTTCGAAAATTTTCATCCCGTTTAATACTGTTGAAAACTTTTGCAAATACTGAAATATGTAGTTGAAAATAAGAATGAAACTTAAATAAGAATGATTTAGAGTAGCATAAAATTTTGACGGAAACAGCCGGGGGTGCTCTTTGCAGCTGGACCCTGAAAGAAGACGGCGGCAGAAAGAAGATGGCGGGTATTTGATGTAAGTAAGTATCACTATATATATATATATATATATATATATATATATAAGCTGAATTTAAAGTCAATACTTATACTGAACAAGCAATTGCATGTATTGAATTTAGGCTCGACGGCGACGCGCAAGCTGGGCACTGCCGCTATGGCACTTTTTTCAAAATATTTTCAAGACTTTTCCTTTGAAGCAGTATGCATTTGAAAAATATTATGTAAGCATCTAGCACATTTTTGTTGCTTCCGTAAAGTATTTCAGTGTTTTGAAATTAATTTATTTTTGAATGATCGTTTCATAATGGTCTCATCGCAGTTACTTCTGTCCGTGGCCCAACAGATCGGAAATTAAACAGAAAAAAACTTATCCGTAATATTGTACTGTACTACTTACGCTACCGTGAATAGATCTAGGAATCTATCTGTGTAATATATCGATTTTACTTTAAAATATCGGTCACTGTCCGTGCTATTGTAGATCTAGCTCTTTCAAATTTCTGATCGGAGATAATTTATAAGTACCCCAAGTCCAGGGTATGAAATCGTACGGGAACTCTACAGCTATGCCAATTGTAAGGTTTACATATGAAGTTTATATATATACTTTTAGCATAAATTTAGTTTTTGTCTTTCTGACATGATGTCTCGTTGATTCTGTTGAAGAGTGATGCATGTGAACGATTCCAATATGAAGATTGGGAATAATGAAGATGTCAATTAACATCTGAATCCCGGAAAGTGTTTTAATGAAGATTAGGATAAACCTAGCAAAGTGTTAGGTCCCAGTGTGAATGTGTAAAGTGTAAGGTCCCAGTGTGAATGTGTAAAGTGTAATTGGTACAATTCTTATTATGCCTGAACTTTTAATATATGTATTTGTTCATCTCAGAAATTTCAGCATTATGTCAACTGCGTCAACTTTCAGTTCAACACTTGATTCATCAATTTTACACAGCCCTAGACTCAATATTTGTCATTAATTGTCGACTGTTTTTAAGCGTTTTAGAGTTTTGTTTCCATGGTGAATGAAATGGGATAAATAGTCTAACCAATACCCCTCGAGAGCTTATTAAGACATTGCAGTATTATTACTTTGGGCCTTATTAAAAGTCAAATTGAAACTTTAAGAAATTCAAGTGTCCGGAAGTACAACAATAAGATGTCAATAATCAATGAAATTGATTAATTGAGAGGACATTTTCTTAATACAGTTAACCAGGCTTTGTAGTGGTTTGTTCAGAACTGTAGTTCTGGTTAAGTAACCATTAATTATGTCCTTTCAGCTACAATGACGTACATTTTTGAAATACCTCTACTGTAGCTAAATGTGGCATTTGTAATAGACATAGTCAAAGTTAATTTTGTGATAGACGTAGCCAAAGTTAATTTTAGGATCAGTTAGGACAGCTACTGTTTGTAACAGGCATGGGTTTAATTACATGATGATGTAATTAATTAAATTACAATTACATTATGAAAATGGCATTGCAATTACAGGTATTTTCAAAATAATTAACCATTACATGACGGTCCAATGTAATTAATTAAATTACACATTACTTTTCATGTCAAAATGATTTTTGAAAATAAATTATCGTACTGCACAGATTTATCACACAGATTTAATTTTATGATTCAATCTCTGTATGACCATGGTCAAGATATTATCATTTTGCTAGCTGTCCATCGCTTAATAATTTGACTTTCCTGAACGTCAAAGTAATTAATTACAGTATATTTAATATTAACCCCTATTGGGAAGACTATAAACTTATACAGAAGTGTATATTTCTTGCACATAATCATAGCAATAATGAAATATAGTTATTTATTTCCCTTACTCTCTTTCAGCAAGTGGATGTCCCTGAAGAAATGAAATCTGGAATGGTAGACGGTATCTCTATTGATTCTGCTAAGTTGGAATTGGCCATGGTGACCAACAATGGATTTGAGGACCTTATGGTGGAGAAAAACGTCCTTCTCTCCGGCCCCCAATTAAATGTTGAAGATGATTAATCACTTGAGGAGATGCTAACAACCATGTTGCCTTTTAAGGTCACAGTAAATCGCAATCTTGTACTAGGATATTTACATGACAAGATTACATTGCTGATCAAAGCATGGAAAGAATACTGTATCTAAAAACTGAATAAAACAAGATATAAGCATCTGTATCATGTTTTTATTATTATTATTATTATTTTTCCATAATGTCTGTCCACATGGAATTTGTAAGCACTCTTGTACATTCTTATACTACCAAAAGGGTGGGTAAACTGGAATCAGGTTGTCTATCAGTCCATCCATCTGTTTGTCTGTCTGTAGACACATCTTGTCTGGACAACTCCAATGAAACTTTTCAGTAATATTCAGGACAATGTGTAGATGTGCATGCACCATTTTCCCTCGAAATATTGATTGCCATGGCAACTGGTCAATATAGACGGGTTTTGCTCGTCGGTCAACTTCTAAACCTGTGGACCAATTTCAACAAAACTTTGCAGGATGTTGGGGAACGTGCACATGCCGCTGTGTTTCAGAGGATGTTTCTGTGCAAAAGGTCACCATGGGGAGATAGCTAAGGCTGTGGGTGTTGGGGGTATTGGTTATCATTTGGATTACAGTTTCAGTTATCCCTGGGCAATGTGGAGAGGATATAGTAATGATTTTGAGGATTGAATGTAGAGGTCACAGTACTTGCATAAGTACTATATGATTACCTTGTAAACGCATTGAGACTAAGACAGTATACCTTAATCAAATTTGGAACATGTATCCCTTATGAGAAGTCGGTTTCTTTAGAAATTCAGGGTCAGATGTCAAAGATCAAGGTCACAGTCAAAAAACGGATAGATGCATGGGGGTGTTCTTTGCATTACCCTCATTTTTCTATCAAAGGTTCAAGGTCACTGTTAGGATGTTAAAAAATGATAATACAAGAGGAATAAAATATCTTGCGACAAGTTTTAGAGAACAAAGAATATATAAACATGTCAACAGAATTGTAGAACCAGCAAAACAAGTGTAAAATTGAAACAAAGACAATATCTACTCGAAGATTCCCTGAAAAAGTACAAGGAGAATAAGACCAGGTGTTCCGAAAGAATAGGCATCTTTTATTTTAAGTTATGGTGACATATCATGTTTGTTTTAGAAAATTGGCACTCTTATGCAGTCATTTACAGACAATTTGGAAAATGAAGCTGCCCAATATTTGTATGTAGCATGTTATTTGCATGATGGTCTAATTAATGGTCTTAAACCAATAAGATACACAGTTTTTAAAGTGATAATATGGTGTCCAAGATCAACATTTCCTACAATGTATCCAAAGAAATGGACGACTTACCTATCATTGCATCTTGGAGCCTACTTGGGACATGTATTACATAAGTAATACTAATATGCTTGTTATTTCTGATATCTGCTGGTCATTTTTTATGGGCTGCAATGATTTACTGCTTGCATATAGTTGGTTTCAGTATATAGCAAGCTAATAACAAAGAATTTATTTTTCAATGGTCTTAGCATACCAGTACTTTCAGTACCTTGATTTTTCATTTAAATCGTGAATGTCCACTTTTTCCCGTTATGGAGTTTGGGTCCAACTTATGTGTTATCCATCACATCATAAAGTAAATAAATCTTTGTTTGTTTTTTCTGTTTTACATTTAGCAATTCTCTCTTTTTTAGTTCGACTTTTCATCTTCTTGTAAACCCTCGTGTAATGGTCAAATAATGAAACTTATAGTATAGTATCGGTACAAAATTCTAGTCATACTCAGAAAATCATGCTTAGTGCAAATGTGCAGATGGTGTGTAAGCTGTATGAACACGTGAAAATGCTAAAAACCTAAAAAGGAAAGCCAGGGATAATCAAAGAAATGGATTAAAAATGTATTTGGAGTTTTTCATAAACAAAATTTGGTTAATAAAGAAATGTCGAGGTATAAGTGTTGGCTTTCTGTGATTTTCTGTTTCCTCCTTGGATTCCAACGTCCTGAAGAAGTTATTTTCGTTTTAAAGCTAATATCATTTGAAAAATTTTAACGAACTCGCATCATGCACGTGAACATGTCAAGATTAAAGTTGTTAAAAAATTATTAGAACATATTTTTTCTTCTTCATTAAAGTTTACTCTTCCTATATCACATAAGTTAGTGTTTGTCCAGGTTTGGAACAAAATCATTGATCTCCAGACCGATACAGCATTTTATAAGAGGACAGATCTGTCACGATTTTAAGTATAGAACCGTACGAGCCACAACGTATTCACACCAGCATTGTTCGTGCGAAATAACCTACCGCTGTATCATTGATTTTTATATGTCATATTTATTACAAAATAAACAGCCACGTTATCATAATTATCAATTCATATTCAAATTGGACGAAAAGGGATAAACAATTTACAAAGGCAAAATATACACGAAGGCCAATGAAAAAGTGGAAGGAGAACAACACAGTATGTTCTGGAGGAAGGAATGTTCTCAATTGAGAACGTGGCTACGGTTTACTCCTCTGAGAAGTAAATAAATTTGATGATGATTTTTGAAAGGTTTGATTTAAGAAGGAAGCTGAATTTCAAGGTAAAGGTATGATACTGCGATATAAAGAAAACAATAACGTGAAAATGCTCAGTTTTCATTTGATTTAATGAGCTTTAAACTGTAGATCAACCAAAAAAAAAAAAAAATGTAAATTTTCGCTAATGACCCAAATCATAATCTAACGAGTACCACCGCCGTTTTGGCGGCAGCCAAATATGTCAAAGATGAAAAGTAACTCTTTTGCAGATTTACACCAATGAAAAGGGAGAACATAAATCATCTTATAAAATTGACAAATCATAAAGCCCGGTACAAAAATCATAAAAGCAGAAACAGAAACGGGTTGTTTACTAGTAACAGGACATTTAATTCCATGGCAAACATTCACTTCCATAATAATCAGATAGCAATGCAACACAAATTACCTTATCAGACATCAAACCTAACCCCCAACCAAACGTCTTGAATGTGGAACTAACACGTTACTCATTTCAAGAGGTCTCATCAACAGCGACAGTTGTTAAGTAGCCGCCTGCCACGTAGTAACTGGCCAGAGGTTAATCTCACTGAATGTTCTACAGCATTTCTATGTGGATGTGAAAATAAATTGACATTTAAATTTTTATTTGCGTTTCCATATTTGTAATGATTTTTAAAACCGGACTACATCCTGTTGCGTAATGCGAAGTAGTAATGAGTGAGTAGTGTCCGCAAAAAGCCTAGTCAGCTTTCTCCTTTAAGATATGTTCTAAAGATACCAGTATTTCTATTTTGCTTGTGAAAATGTAATAGAAAATTAAATAAATATTTAATAGTGTCTCCAGTAATAACAAATATATTTCACTCGAGTGTCTAAATGTTTTTGTATCTATTACTCGTGCCGTGCCCACGTGAAAGATATACTTAGATATTTGCACACATGTGAAATATATTAATAATGGAGACACTACTTGATATTATGTATATATATATCGTTATACAAAATCTTGAGCAAAGTAAACTATTCAACTAAAACCAAATTAGCGGAAAATCTACATCGGCGTTAATCAATTATACCTGGATATCATAACATCTCCGAATACATGATAGAGGTAGACGTCAGAACAACTGTTACTCTTGTGAAATAACTTTCAGATATTCAACATGGAATATCTTTTTTTTTACGTGTGTTCAGGGTTGTTTACGATTTCTGCTTGTGAGTTTCAGAGATATAAAAATGTTCTGAGATAGAGAAACATGTATTCACACGCTTACGCATGACATTAATTCAGTTCCATATAAGTGTAGTGTGTTAACATCATAATTGTAACATAGACAAGAGAAGAGATATTCGGGATTGACTAATAACAGGAATCCCAGCGACAAATTAGCAGAAAAACGTATTAACAAAATTACTTGGAAAATTTCGAGCGTTTAACATCCTTTATTTGAAAAAAAAGGAAAGTCTATCGAGGACGTGCTTTGGTGGTTCGGAAATGTGTCTATAGAATTTGCTACACAGATCAAGATTTTGATATTGACGTGCACATGAAAGTTTCAGCGTTCAAGAAGGAATCTTAATTACAAAATTGACAATTATTGAATTATCTCCCAGGCAGGATGACGCCGAGTTTGGTAGTGAGACCTTCCAACATACTATTAGCATACCTAAGGGAAGTATCTATGTCCGTCTGTAGGCTCAGTTTTTTTATTTTCATACGAAGGTTAATTAATCTAAGATTTTAGCAAAATAGACCCCAAAGACCTTGCTTTTTAACATCACATTAAGTTATATAGGTGAGGTCTTGTCTTTAAACAAGAAATGTATTGATCACGTTCAAGGTATATATACACCACAATTGGAGATCATGGACACTGCAGTCTACATCAACTGCTTATCTCGATCTTTTCCGATAACAACATGCCTGAATTCTCAGCCTATGGTATTTACTATGGTTGATTCGATGTTCAAGAGCCGGTTCCCATTTTCGCGATTTTCGATTAAAAAAAACCTACAAAGGATAGAGCATGTTTATTGTTTGTAATAGAAAAGTAAATCTCTACATGTAAATACTATCTGCTAGGGTCGTTCTCTGAATTCTAGCGAAACAGTTTCAATCAAATTCACAAAAAACAATTGAAAGCTCTGGTTTGATTCTTATGGTTAAATCACTAAAATGTCCTTGTTTCATATTACCCCCCCCCTTTTCCACCTTTCCCCAATTTGGGTCTATATTTAACTTAACGGTTCGTCACTGACATATAGGTCAAACTAACACAAAAGCACAGTGTAAAGACTAACTTCTCATTGATATTTAATTGGGTTGACCTTTATTAACATATTGTAATAATTTGATTATTTTTTTATCACTGAATAATCACTTTACCGATGAAAATAACGTTTTAATTTTCTACATATACTTAATATCAGCAATGTCTAATTTCCTATTCTACAAAACACCAGTCTGTAATAAACTCAGTATAGGTTACTGAGATCGAATTAGGGGCAATTATTCGTCGTAATGACATACCCGTTTCTAGTATATAAAGATGACAGGAGAAGGCTTCAGTAATCGGTGGTCAAACTTGACACGGAAAATGATGTCCCTTACCTGCTGTCTGCTCCTCATCTGCGGGTTCATGGTAAGTACTGACTCAACCTTTCGACTTTCACCATATTGGAAAGGGAGATTCAAGTGTTACAAGGAATGCTTACCAAGGCTTTTGACGTCAGTGGATGCGACAGGGTCTTTGAATAACTCTTTTAGTAGCTTTTCTCTGAACGATTTTACTTAACAGTTTATTGACTTTGTTCACGGAATTAGCTCGAATGTTGACTAAACTTTAATTTGTTGTCAAATGTAGCGCCAAAGTCTTTCTCTGTAGTGACCATTTCAAGTTTTCATCCATGTGACCACATAGTTCAGGTCATATCCTGTTTTATGGTAATTTTCTGCTGAATGACAATTTTTATGTAGTGTGAAGTCATCTGTAAACAGTTTGATATAAGTACTATTGCGTAAATCAGTTAATTTACGTATATTAAAAACAGAACAGGACGGAATATACTTCCTTGTAGAACTTACATCTGGTGACGCGCACCGACCTTGATGATTCTTCATTTACCACCACTCCTTGCGTCATGTTTCTTTTTTGTTTGCCTTTTTTTAATAAGCTGTATAATAAAAGTATGTTTTTCTGTTTATTGGATATTCAAAATCGTTTGTTCTTAGCAGATATGTATATGTATAAATGTATTATGTTACTTAATAAAATTAATTACATTAACATTAGTCTCTTTAACACTTTGATGACTTCATTTTCAGATTCCAACATACGTTGGTAAGTATTTGATTTATTTTCTCACTATCTGTAAATAACATTCTAAATCATTTAAATCCTATCGTATCTATAATTCATGTAAAACGACCACAACAAGGCAATACAACCAATAATATTTCAAGATGTAAATGAATCGACATTGTTATGGTTGTATAGAACAACAGTCATCATTTCATGATCACGTCTTCTTTGTTGATAGGACTAGAGATGACCAGATGCAAGCTGGATATAGCCTTCATTATTGATTCATCCAGTAGTATATGGATCAAAGACTTCGAACGCCAAACTTCCTTCATACACGATGTTGTCGACTCGTTTGCATCAGTACCAGACGATGTTCAAATCGCGGCTGTGTCATTCAGCAACCACGTGTTTGACGAATTTAAGTTCAGTTCATTCAGCAAACGTGACGCTATTCTTGATGCTGTCAACAACGTCAGATACAGCAAAGGCGACGCCACCAGAACATACCTCGCGATAGAACGCATGCGCACTGACCTGTTTGCCCCCGGCAATGGCGCAAGAGATGATGCTGTACACGTAGCCGTTGTTCTGACTGATGGAGGCACCAACCCAGGGTCATATGATCAGTACTCAAGGAGCGAGGGCAAAGCCAAGACCCAAGAAGAGGCTGAACTTGCAAAGCAGTCCGGGATATACATGTTCGCTATAGGAATAGGCAGCGGAGTAGATGAAGCGGAACTCCGAGGTATTGCGTCGGAGCCAGACGACAAGTTCTTCTTTATCGTGGATAACTATGACAAGCTCGATACAGCTCACGTCAAGAGTCTCTTGGCATGCCGAGCCTGTAGAGGTAAACTCACTACAAATCAATCAATCTGCATATTATCTGTCATTATTGTCAGACTTTAATTGTGTTTCCTGGCCTCCGATTTCACATGATCGATGATGCCGTGGCTTTTGCTTTAACAATTCTGGGTGTGTTAGAAGCGTTGCATTTAATTTATGATATAACATCTTTAACTAGTACTTTTAATTGTATACACTTATGCGATTTCTTGTCTCTTTTTAGCACCAACATTTGAATTTACAACGACTAATGCCCGCCGAGCCGCTGATTGTAAGTACAATTATCGAAGATTGCTGTTTACCCCCACCCCCCCACCCCCAACCCCCAACCCCCAACCCCACCCCCCACAAACCCCACCCCATCCATATCAGTGACTTGTATTTCGAATGTTCGTTTGATATATTAATGTGCAATGTAAAACACCTTTAAATACATCGAATATAATACTCTTACCGTTCCGTTGGCTCTTTCAGCTCGCTACAGTCGCCAGGTCTCCACAGAAAGTGCACGAGAAGGTTTGTCAAATTATATATTTCGTACCGAATCCCGATACTTTTCACCAATTTCTTGTCTGAATGATAGTATAACGATTTTGTCACGAAGTTGATCAAGTATAATCTTCGCCTATTGTCAGCTCTTTTCAAAGTTCGTTATTATTCATGTTGTGTACATCAGCGATAAAAGTGTTGGGTTGTAAATAATGAAAACTATGTTGGCTGCGGTGTTGTAAATATTTCATAACAGAGACAAACTGTTAAAGGTAAGGCTTCACATGTTTTCTCTTTATATATATCAGAAATATTAGAACGGATTGTTTGATTAATTTAGTCTGTCATGGAGACCCCGTTGACATCATCTTTATCCTTGACGAATCCACCAGCATCCGATCGCAAGAGAATTTCAAGAAGGAACTCGATTTTGTCCGAAATGTGGCAGACATGTTTGATATTGGACCGGATATGACGCATGTTAGTGTGATTACGTACAGCGACGATAGCCAAATGCGATTTACCCTTAGTAAGTACACGGATAAAGCAAGTCTCGAGAACGCAATTGAAAACATCGACTGGTCCACCGGAAACACGTATACCAACAAAGCTCTGGACTTACTTCTCACTCAAAGTCTATCGGAAGTCCGAGAAGGACTTTCTCACATCGGAATTGTTATTACAGACGGAAAGTCAACTGACTCAAAAAGTACACGAGAATCCGCTCTGAATGTTCTAGCTACCGGAAATATTGAGATGTTCGCTATTGGTAAGCATGAACGACTTTCCACAATAGTTACACATTAAAAATATTTATAGTTACTTTTCTCGGTATGGTACCCACTTTGCATTATTTAAAAACATGGACGAATATTTGATATTCCTTTTTATTTGCAATTAGACGATTATCTGTTTATAAGATTTTACCAGATAATGTAGTTCATATGGTGACATATAGATAAATATCGATATATCTACATTTGAATTGATTTTTTATTTTGATTTTTATTGCACATAAGTAGCAATATAAGATTGGGCACAAGTTTTACAACTTATATAAACCTTTTCGAAACATTGATTACCGACACATTACATGTACAAGGTGGCAGTAGGATATATTAACAATGAAAGAATTATAAACAAGTTGAGAGAGAGAGAGAGAGTGTGTGTGTGTGTGTGTGTGTGTGTGTGTGTGTGTGTGTGTGTGTGTGTGACATGAGCTTTATACTTTGTATCTATGAAGATCATGTATCTTATCCTTCTCCATGCAAGCTTATCAAGTGATACAATGGCCACATGCCTAAACGCACTACTTGACTTTGTCTATCACTTCCCGTGCTATATTTGTATTGGGTGTGCATGCTTATGTAAACATATATATGAAATAAAGTCTTACCTTTTCAGGAATAGGAAATGCGTACAAACCTGAGTTAGACATCATGGCGTCTAAACCCTCAGAGGACTATGTCTATCAGATCGACAATTTGGATGCTTTAGATTCTCTTCAGAACAAATTTGCTTTCCGCATTTGTAAAGGTAAACCGTAAACCTAATGGCTTCACTCTGAGATAATTTATGGAAATCATGTTTGTATTTTTTTTAATATAATGTGCTTATCACTTGTGTGTCTTTTGAACTCTTCGAACTTCTGTTGACACTGCTGGTGGAGTCTAGTCCCCAAGCTTTGCCATTACCTGCATGCCTCGTTTTAATTCATGCGAATAATAGAACGGTGCAGAATCTACACATATATTCGATAATTATCAGATATTTAAGTATTATGAAAATTACTGAAATATAGAGCTAAACATGTGTGTCGTTTGTACAAGCTTCTATTCGTGAATAAAAGTTTATATTTCTGAAAATCCTTTTATGCATTTTTCAGAACAACCAGGATGCAGTTTGGCTGAAGGTAGGGTTCTTCATAATTGTCATTATTACTTTTTTGCTGTTGTTTTCTGTTTTTTTCTTCTTTTTTTTTCAAATTTCCAAAAAAGAAATGCATCAGTAAGGCCACTTTGCTATATTAGCAGGAAACATTTTTATCTGAAACTGATATGAGTATTATAACGGTTTTGGCAGGCTGTAATAAGTACAAGGCTGACGTCGTGGTCGTATCAGATGCTTCAACCAGTATCGGTGATGAAAGCTTTGCTAAACAGAAGACTTTTATCGCCAGCATAGTTGAGAAGTACAACATAGGGCCGGATGGTGTTCAAATCGGCATGATTTCATACTCCGACGACGCTCATACCGACTTCAGCCTGAACAGTTACACATCACAGGACGAAATTATATCTGCTATAAATAAGGTACGCCAATTGTTCTACGATTACTATATGGCGATTCCAACATCTTTCTCTCTTTCTTAGTTGATTGATTTCGAGATTTCTATCACGAGGTAGACTTACAATATTCTAAGAAGTTTCTGCGTGTTATTCTGCCTTTGTTCATATTTGCGTTTCCTCGATTAAGAACTAGTTGGCTTGATACTTACCGTCTAAGAACTGAAATAAAAAGTGGATTCCACGATGTTGATATCTAATCATTTAACCCGTAGATCATATGTAGGTAGCCGGATAATAAATAATAATCAGGTGTTGTATAGATAAACAACCTTACTATGGCTTCAAATATAGCATTTTCTTCTATCATCTCCAAGAACAGAGAGCGAAGAAATGGTTTGAATGGGACACATACAAAATCGATCTCTATATCGCAGATTGCGTTTATTTAGTTCCTTGTAAAATTCGAAATTTAGTTTTGTGAATGTCTAGGTTAAATATCTTACCGGAGTGACGTATACAGACAAAGCCATTGAGAAGATGACCCAGGAAGCGTTCACTTCCGGGGCAGGGGCCCGGTCTGGTGTGCCCAAGGTTGGAATCGTCATAACAGATGGCGTATCACGTGATCAAGTGAGGACACAGGAAATGGCGAGGAACGCCAAGGCCCAAGGCATCACACTTTTCGCCATAGGTAAATTATTATATGACCTCCAGCTTGGACATTGAGCTATCACTTTACTTTAATATTTGTTACAAATTGTCATCTTACTTTGATGATGTTTTCAAATTAGTGACGAAAATATACTTGCTTGTCATACATTTCTAACTTTAACATTGCCAATGTCTTTCTTACTACTTCTTAGTTTCTGTGACCTCGTATTGAAATGTTACCATTCACGACGAAGTAAACTAGCCTTAGATTAGCAAGTATCACAAGCATCTTTAAATTATAAACGTTATTGATATATACAGGTGTTGGCAGTAGTATTGACTTAGACGAGCTCCAGGGCATAGCTTCCGATCCCGATCCCTTCTTTACCTTCATGGTAGACGACTTTGCCTCATTGGTAGATCACGAGGATATCCTTATAAAGAAAACATGTGCAGGTATGTTTTCAAATATGTTTGTTCAGTACAGTATTTGAGTCCTCCCTGTGTTAAGATAAAGCAGAACTCTCAAATCGAAAGGTAATAGACATCACCTAGTTAATTATCATAATGATCCACTCTACTACGGACAGTTCAAGAGCATTATGATGTTACACTGTCCCTGTCTATTTATCCGTCATGAAGATTAGAACGATTATGTAGAGAAAATGAGACCAATGATTCAATTATAGTAAATCATCTTTCTTATTACAGGTCCTGCGCCTGCGCCTGCACCAGTAGCTAAGCGGGAACACCAATTTGAAAATGATGAATTACGATCTCTGTTTCAAATGCTGGAAGAAAGAATACAACGTAGATAGAACTATGGTCATTACTAATGGTACCCAGAATAGTTTCAGGTCTCGGAATTAACTATTAGTATTATGTGTATGTTTTATGTTTTAAAACATGCTTTAATATCTTCCGAGCGAGGGTTCTTATGATGTTTTTTTTTTCAGCGAATGCTTTGATATTCGTTTTGAAAGGCGATATTCGAATAGGGAGAATATTCGATTTCGAATGTTAGACATTAACATTTGGACAATCGCTATCTCTTTCTATCGACGAAGTCATTTTTCAGTTCAAGTTTTGTATCTATGTTGTGTGCATTCAATGGAGGCTATTGTAATAACATCCTCAGAGTGAAGATCACCTCATATATGTTATGTGAAAACTCTGTATAGTGTTATATATAGCTTAGTTAATGTTCTACTGTTATGGGTATACCAGGGATTTAAGCTTAAATACACACACAGTCGAGTAGTCGAGTGTAGTTTGAAACTGTACTTTGTACATCTAAAGTGAATAAATCCATTGCATACGATGATTTTGATAAGTGTTGTTTTTCCAAGAGGCGCCAATGATTATAAGAAGCAAAATAGAACTTTTACCATCAACGGTAATGATCATTTAGATGGCTTTCCATGTAGGTCTTCGTGAGACCCGTCTGTTTATTGGAATATGAATTTCAAAACACTTATGGATTTCGTTAAAATATAAGCAAAAGAATGCAGGAAAAGATTTTAGAGTGGTACTCCTGAAAAAGTACAAAGATCATAAGATTTGGTGTTTCGAAAAAGCCAGCATTTTCTGCTTCATCGACTTCGTGCAACTCTTGTTCATTCCAAATAAGGATAAATATCCCCAATTTAGATCACAAAAATAACAGCGACAGTAACACAGTCCAAACATTAGTACAGAGTGCAAACCTACAGATCCCTCATACTATAGCTTATTGTTAAAAATACCACCTCGCCTCTAATCCCTACTATGCTAATTTTGTAAATCCCTTCTTAAATCCCAGAACGATTACCTGAAGAGAAACAGAAAGACGACAGGTTTCCGGAAACATCAATATTTCTCTATATGTAATCTTTTACTCTAACGTGTTGTACCAAACTGGTCAATACAAACCTCAATCACGCAGCAGAAAAATCACAAAAATCGCCGACGGGGAGTCACGCTACAATGACGCTCAGCACGACAACAGACAAAACACGTGTACAACACAGGACAACAGATGTGACATAGGAACAGCCAATATTGTAACAATATGTACATAGGCCATTAAATATGTGTATATGATAATATCATTTCTATATGGCGATAACAGTACAAGTTAAGATGTGTGCTCGATGTATTGCACGATGTGCGCCGTAAGGTTTTTGGTGCGTTGTACGTTTCCATAATGGTACAATATCTATAAAAACAAGCTATTAACTATTCAGAATATTACTTGCTTTAAATATAAACATGAACACATGATAAGAATTGCCTCTGCTGCAATGGGAAGATATTATGATCTCCATCAGAATTTGCAATATTAAGTAAGATGTTCTCAGTGCGCTTTAGTATGTCGTGTGGTGCATAACATTATTCCATTTTGAGAAGTTTACGCTACTGTGATAACCAGATGCAGTGTCATCGATGAAATACCATTAGCTATCTGGAAAACCTGGCCATGTCCTTATGCAATTACATTATTTATCTATTTTACTTTGATTTATTAATTTGGAGTCTGTATTTCGATTTTTTAAACATCAAACACTATGTGTGTGTATATCTTATAAAAGCTAAATGTTGAGTATCAGACATATTCACGTGTTATGAAGCGTTAAACAACGTAAGATGTAACAACCAAACAGTGAGGAGAACGAAAACAAACAACAAAACATAATAGAACAAATACTTACTAACACTACGTAATGATCAAGACTAAGTAATGTATGTTTGGTGCTGTTTACAGACCGCCGTTTCAACACACATTTTACTGTAAAACCGGTGTCGGACAGTTCAGACTTTATTGCCGTTGTTATTCAGTGAATATACCCATGTCATATCTGTATCTACTATAATTATGTAATGTAGCTCATTGTAACGTGTGATCGAATAAAAAGATAACGTCACTTTAGATCAAACGCCGTTACACATTCACGGATTGCATTATGAATATAGATTTAGAGTGATGTTAAGTTTGACGTGGAAATTTTCTACCATATTTATTTAATTGCTCCCTAAATGTAAAAAAAAATTCTTAAATTCGTTTAATTTTGATTTGTGATTTATGAATTTTTCATTTTAAGTCGGGACATGATTTAGTAAATGAACACGTCTTAAATTCACATATCAAATGGAAACTCGTATGAATATATTTTCAACATGATAAGATATTTTTCTAGTTCAACGGAACTCCAAACTGTTGATCACCTATACGTGTTTGGAAACTGTCAATCATACCTAAATCAGACCAGTTTTAGCTATGACCTAGTAAGGACTGTCCTACCTGAAAGGGTGTGGTCCTTACCGATTACCTTCTTAATGGCGATTGTAAGTGTGGTAAGTATGTTGCACATGTACGTCAACTTGCTTAGAACACCAGCTACACAAAGTTGTGACGTTTTTCTTTGTTCTTGTTAATTTTGCTTTCTTAAATGTATAAATTGTCATACGAACGTTCTTGTGTTACCAGGCCTGGGAACATTCAAGTTAATTTTGCTATTTTTGTTATGAACTTTTATCTTTGTAAGTTGCCAAAAGTGGTAGAGCGTCCCGAAACTCAGACAAGGTAAATAGTTTGTGGAGGTTACTTCGCCAGATACATGTTATTTACATAGGTGTTTTTCTTATCGATGACGGCACTAATCAGGCTCATACGATGCGTTAACAACACAGCGAGCAAAACACAGTCAAAGAACAGACATCTAAGAAAATGTGATTCACATGTTTGCGATTGATATAGGAAGCAATATCGATCTAGCCGAATTCGGCGGCTTTGCCTCTGACAACGGACCATCCGACCATCGGATTAAAGAAGGTAGTACACGTACGAATATTATCATTAACTTTATGCTTTTAAAACTGGATAAAAGCTTGCAAAGTACATATCTAATACATTACGAACATTGGTCTTATGTTGCATTTTGATATATCCGTTTTGTGTGTTACTTCTGTTGCAGTGCCAACCTTTGCAGAAATCTACAAATTCGCAAACAGGTATTGTGAAGTACCCGCATCCGCCGTAAAAAAACGTTTTCCTGAAAGAAAGCTAGGATTCAATTTCACTTGCTGTAAATTGAATAAACAACAAAAATAAATATCCGCGTATAACATTATATATTTCGGTCCTATATTGTAAAATTCCCCAACGAATAAACATATTTGTTTGTAAAAAGTGATATAGCTAATATAAAAATAGCATGGAGGTTGCGTCGAAGCAGCAGAAGATGTGTACACTACCGGATAACTTATTCTAATTCTTACCTATATTTTGGCATGGTATCGCCGATTTTGAGCTTCAATTAAGTATGAATCATATGATGATATGTAGCTATTTTCTTCTTCCGGTAGCAGGGATATGTTTTTTCGCTCTCGTGCTTCATTGACAACCGCTGTCATACATTTTGGTTGTTTTCATGTACAGCGCTTTCTGGTGTTGTTATGTATAGGGATTTCCGTAGGTATGCGAGAAGAACTTTGGAAACTTGATGAAGCCCATACTAAGCATTGTCTGACGAGGGGACAGTGTTGTCCGATTAGCGTCGATAGGAGGTACCAAGGTGAAGGGGTTAGGGCACACGAGCATGATGAACAACAATAGGTTTCGCGCGTATTTCGCCAGTTCTGGCGTAAGCTTTGGAGCAAGAACTAGTTAGGGGCGTAACCCACCCTGGCGAAACACTTTCTTGTAAGTCTTTCAATAAGTATTTCAGCCAGGATCTCTAAAGTATCATTCCGGTTACGTTCAGTTTAGCCTGGAGACTGACAGAGAGTCTGCAGATACTATCCTGTAACTTAATATTATTCTTAATTCCCACCGTCTTTGTTCTTCTGTTGTCCCCGCCTTTTCGTAGCTATACCACTTTCCTGTCGTCTATAATGCCTCCGTTGTCGTCTATTTTACAATCTATAGGGGGTATGGAGGAAGGGTTATAACGAATGTGGTATTGGAATGTTTATACGGACGTCGTTGGTTGTCATAGACTGTATGTGAGAAAACTGCCACAGGTAAATGAAAACATATATCTAGTATCCGTAAATTAAGAATAAATGTCAGTTTGAATCGTATACAGACATGGTTTTTGAATTATTAACAGATACTTATACAAAATTTGTAACTTTTTTGTTTCATCTATTTTTCTAAAATGTCGCAATAATGTTTCCTTTTCAGCTGTATTGTTTGTACATCATATGAACAGGCAAGACCATTTGGATCTTTATGCTGAGTTTTATCCAACAAATCATCTTACCTGTTTTACTGTTCATGTAAGATCAATGCTGTTCAAGTTCCATAACGTAATATAAATGTATAAGCATATCTGTCAACAAACTAACATTCCTGCCCTTAGAGGTTCCGCTATATGTGTCGAAGACTTCAATTCGAGAACATTTGCATAATCTGGCATTTCAGAGGTATGAAAAGAAAAACTCCTGTCATGAGTAAAGGAAAACGCGGAATTGAATATACACACCTTGGTCTACAAAAGAAAATACCAACATGGCATGTCCATGTAAATTTCACTTTTGTTCATAATTTGCCATAGTTTTATTGAATTTGAGTTTCAATTATGATTATGTTGACATGTTGGTTTTTATTTTTCTCTTCTTGTACTCTCCTTACACAATTATAATTTTTGTAAAACGAAAACTCCGTCAAGATACTACAAGTGTATTTTTATCATAAACAGTTAGTACTGGGTTGTCAACTTTAAGGTAGTTATCTTGTAACAAGCAATGTTAGATGTAACAACAAAGAGGTGAGGAGCAATATGACACAACAGGCAGGAGAGTGTAAACAGTATGGCATAGACATACCTTATCACCTTAATGCTTTTAGTCATAATTGAAATAATTCGAAAATCTATTTGTGCACATCTTGTAATAAGCCCATAGATATATTTAATGCAGTGTGTGTCAGAATAAATGTGGTTTGTTGATGTATATAAAAGTTTAGTGTCGTGCGCCCTTAAAGGACTGTAGGGCGAGTTGACTTTGAGACATTGTTATTGCGAAGAAGTCCGAGGGTTTCGGAGGATCGGCGTGGGTAGAGAGCGCGGCAAGATGGCGAGCGAAGAAGACGCAGCGTGATATCATGATGAAGGAAAGACAGACCTCATGTGTTGTTTAAGAGTTTAACCAATGGGTTAAGGAGTGAACTTTGACTCTGTGTGTGTGTACCATGACCGCTCGAGCACGAGCTCGAGCGCTGTGACCCAGTGTTATCACGAAAAAGTAAGGACGCTCTGCATAGGGAAGTGACTTTCACACACTGTGCATAGGGAAGAACATGTGATCGGTCTATCTACTATTGTGTAGTTTGTATATTGAATTTTTTAGTTTATTAAATAAACTGTTAATTGTTTATTGGCGTCTGTGTTGTATTTTACGTTCCAACGAAATACTATCAAGTATACCTAAATGAAAGATCCCAAAATTTATTGTCGTCTCTGACAGTGTGCAAGTTGTTTTACGCATGCTCAAAGCACGAAAGTTTGAAAAAAAAATCATATACAGCGTATCATCAACGTTGTTGAGTACTAATACTTTTATTAAAAGCTTTATGTTTTACCAGTTACTTTCAAGATCAGAAGTGAGTTATCTGTGATTGGCAGCTTGTATTATGTAGCAGTGATTACATCTATTACATATGTATAACTTTACTGACACCAAACCCTAACTTTCTGAAATGACATATTACCATTTATCAAATACGATTATGTTTCAAATGGCATTTTGTAAAACTATTATTAACTTGTTCAGATGTAATAAGTTAATTAAATGTCAGATCCGGTTTGTACTATAAAACAGGGCATGTATTACTCCGGCAGGCTAAGTCAGCACTGTCCGAGCTGTGAAGATGTGGTCCTTACTTATTACCTTTTTGGTGGCATTTGGATGTATGGTAAGTACTTTTACATGTATCTTAACCTATGCTTAGAGCACAAGCTGCACAAAGTTGGTTGGGTTTTTGTTTGTTCTCCTTAATTTTGCTTTCAACTGTGGATCAGTTGTCATTTCATACATTGTTATCAAATTGCACGTAAGTATCTCGATAATAGCGGATGATTGCTACAAAAGTTATTAGTTCTACAGATACGTAAAGGATATTTCATTGTTAAAATATCATATATATTCCAATATGACAGAGTGATGGAAAATCTGTATTAAAAAGGGAAATCAAATTAGAAAGCTGATACAAAAATAAACTTCATCAGAGCTCAAAAAGCGTTTTGGAAATAATAACGCTCTTTTTGACGTCAGTTTATCTAATCGTTCGCTTGACAGCAAGACTATGAGTTTTGAATAGGCTAAATTATGATGTATTCTGCAATTTATGCTATTACCTGGTGAGAATAGCTTACATTATTGTTTTATTCACCAAATAAGAAAACACCAGTTATACTATCATTAGAAAAAGTATATCATAAAACGTCATGTATTATCACTGCAGTGATGATATGGTTTGTCTGAACTAGAATAACATTTGTTATTGCTATATGGGCATTCATACAACCGTGTAGACTATCTTTTTTTTACGTATTTATACGTATGTCGTAAATGTCGGAAAGATTATCATACCTACCATATATTCTTTTTGTAAAGTTCAATACCGTTCATTAATCGGTTTACAGGGGCAGGAACTGTATATTAGATTTGCGGCAATATAACTGGTTTTGTTATTGTTTATTTTAACTAACATGTGCTAATGATAGCAGTTTACAATACGAGATAATGTTATGTAGTTCCTGATGAATATTTTTTGTGATAGCCTATTGTTCAATTAATATTTCAGATCCAACCATCATTTGGTAAGTACACCACGTAAGAAAATAACACAGATGACAAATAAACAAATTACTACCTCGATATTTCATGTTTCGCGTACTTAATTTTCAGACATCACGTTCAATCCTACTACGCTTTATGCGTGACGTTACTTATGATTTTCCTTATTTTGTTTTGATGATATATCTATCAAAGACGCACTTACTCAATTATGCATAATAGTTTGTGTTGTATGACACTACATGTGAATACTCAAATAGTTACCCATGCATAAACATTTGAGAAACAGCACTTGGCAGCAGATGTAGATTCCTTTTTTCATAAATTACTTTAGAGATTGTCATATTTGTTTTACCCTATCATTCTTACAGGAGTCTCATTGGAGGGATGCAAACTGGACATAGCATTCGTCGTGGACTCATCCAGCAGTATCTATGTTGAAGACTTTAAGAAACAGAAATCTTTTCTGTACGATTTCGTAAACATGTTTGAAACTGTGACTGACGATGTTCAGTTCGCAGCAGTCTCTTACAGCAACCACGTTTACGATGAATTCCGTTTCAATAACTTTAGCACTCGCGAAGATATTTTATCCGCGATAAATAGAATTAACCACAGTCAAGGTGACGCTACCAGGACATATTTAGCGATTGAACGCATGGTTAAAGATCTTTTCGCACCCGGAAATGGTGCGCGAGATGATGCTGTTCACATTGGTGTTGTTCTTACCGATGGTGGTACCAATCCTGGCTCGTACGATCGATTTACAACAGAGCAAGGGAAAGCAGAAACACAACACCAGGCGAGAATTGCCAAAGACAACGATATTTACATGTTTGCCATTGGTATAGGTGGGAGTGTCGATCTTAACGAACTACGCGGAATAGCGTCTGAGCCGGATGAGAAGTTTCTGATTACCGTTGACACATACGAAAAACTTGATACGGAACGCATTAAGACGTTGTTAGCCTGCCGAGTCTGTCGAGGTAAGTCGTATAACATTCATAACACTATACATTATGTTTATATCTTCGATCTGGTATATTGCTTTGCGTTTTGAATAAAAGTCATATTGGCTGAGAATAATGTAGATAATATCAGAGTAGGTTTATAAACCTCGTGCTCTTAGTCAGTCTCTAATCAATAAAACTAGATGAAAATACTAATTAAATTGGATGTTTAAAGCCTATAAATATACGGTATTAGGAACATGGATTATATGCATGAAGCGATACTTATTTGCTGTCTACATGTGTTTGTACTTCAGTACTTACCTTTGGGCAAAGCCACGGACTCGAAAGACGAACATCGTATTGTAAGTATTAAGAAATAGTGTCACAAAGTATCCCTTTCTTAAATACATCTTACTAAAATAACAGGTTATGGTCAATATCATTTTCGTGATAGTTAAACTGCGATTGAATAAAGAAACCGATATATTACAGTCATTTCAAGGAAAACAAAGTATGCATTAACAATAGGAAATATAACTCTCCTTTCGTTCATAACTAAATTGGAATGACTAAGATTTATATGGGACTCTTTCCTCTTTTGTGAAATACTCTCATGCTATCGGTATGTCAGGTATTTTCTTGGTTTTTATGAAACTAAATTAACATCTGTAATTTAAGATCAGTCTCCAAAATTATATTCTTAAATGATTGTCGAATTATTTATCACATTTTTATGCAGATTTTGTAGATTAATATGATTTTGAAATTGTAATCATTAATCATTACAGCTTCACTTTTTGTCCATCTTATGAACAGACGAAGATCGCATGGTCTCTATGGTGAGCTTAATGAAACAAGTCTTCAGTTATGTTTTAATGCAACACCAATTTTTTTATTTTTTTTTTTATTTAATTAAGGCAATGGATGAAAGAGAAACAAATCTCGATACTCGATGTGTTCGAAAATTTGCGCGGATGAACTTCAGAGTTGTTAATGAAAAAATGACAAATCTGAAGTCGAGTAAAATGCAACATTTAACAACACATGCGAACTAGTCTCAATGGAGAGAAGAACGAAATTAAGTTAAACAGTTGTTAGTAAAAACTCAAAATGCTTCCAATAAGCAAAACATTAAATGGAAACTTAACGCTGAAGATACATAAATCTGTCTGAACAATCCTACAGCTGTGAAATGAATGTTTCCAATTTTCTTTGATTCATACATGGAAAATTTTACTTACCACTTACCAGCCTATGAACAACCGAAGCCAATTGGTTTTCAGTATATTTCTACATCTTAAATGATTTCAAAATGACAATAATAAAGCTAATCAATATTCTTTTTTTATGATTTCAAGCCCGACAAAGAGATAGCATTACTGCGACCGAAATACAAGAAGGTTAGTAACAATTATCAATAGTTTTCTAATTTAGATGTAGAAACCTTAAAAGAAAAAAAATGATAGACGACAATATACATTCTCTGTAATACATGATAACACATTATGTCTATACTTTGGAAGATTTTGTGTCGATTTAAAGAAGAAAAAAACGAAGAAAAAACAGGTGCCAAATTACAACAATAATGACATGGTAATGATCATTTTTATAACATACAGATGTTTATGTTACAGTATGCTACAACAATCCCGTTGATATTATTTTTATTCTTGACGAGTCAACAAGTATTGGATCAAAGGAAAACTTTAGAAAAGAACTCAATTTTGTCCGAGATGTGGCAGACATGTTTGATATTGGTCCTGATGCGACACATGTTAGTGTGATTACGTACAGCGACCAAAGCCAATTAAGATTCTCGCTGAACAAGTACATGGATAAGCCAAGTCTTGAAAACGCCATAGAAAATATCGACTGGACCACCGGCAACACATATACCAACAAGGCACTGGACCTTCTTCTGACCCACAGCTTGTCCGAGGTCCGAGAAGGATTTTCTCATATCGGAATCGTTATAACAGACGGAAAGTCGACAAACGTGAGGAAAACAAGAGAATCTGCCCGTAATGTGTTGGCATCTGGGAAGATTGAAATGTTTGCAATTGGTATGTCAAATAAGATTCGTGCTAAAACTACATTATTGTCGTGAATCAAATACTACCAGATAACGAGATGCAACAAAGCCAACAATGTTCTTTCAAATGAAATTAATATTTTAACATTACAATGTAAATTCGCTAATTACATGTAAGGAAGTTCATGTTCTAGTGCCATTTATTATAGAAATACAGTTTTCGAAATTAAGACTGTCAAAATATTCCATGCGGAACGTGTGTATGTAGAATTGTTTTTGATATAATTACAGGAATTGGCAGTGCATACAAACCAGAGCTTGACATGATGGCATCCAAGCCTTCTGTTGACTATGTGTCCCAGATCGATGACCTTGACGCTCTGCAGTCGCTGAAGAATAGATTTGTATACCGCGTATGCAAAGGTAATCGAAAAGAAGACCGTGATAATTTAAAAAAAATATTCCCATGTAGAATTTATCTCTTTTATGTACCGAAAATTGATATTTTCTGAAAACTTTGATTCAACCCAATGCTGTTTCATACAATGAATATTGTAGCATTTTCCTATTTCAACGTTTACATAATGAAATGGTAAAGTAAAGTATGTCTTTTTCTTTTCAGAAAGACCTGAATGTTCAGGACCAGAAAGTAAGTATTATTTAAGTGCCCTATTATCCGAGACATAGCCTATTTCTTTTACATATCGCAAAAAAAATTTCTCGTCAGCATCCACAAAATATTAAGTGATGTTTACCAGAATACTAGCTGTAAATGATGTCATCTCAATTCTTAAAACATCTTTGCCAATTCTTCGTTTTTTCCTGAATATTTGGTATCGGGCTTTAAATTCTAATTATGTTATGCGAGATATTTCGCAGGTATGACATTAATGAAGAAAAATTCACAAGAATCTGTTTTTTGAAGTTGTTTGGAATGTACAAAAAGTTAATTATGGTTGTCTTTTCATTTTTGTTTATTGATGGTATGCCACGTAAGTTATAATGGAGATCATTTTACAGGATGTGACAAATACAAAGCGGATATCGTAGTGGTGTCGGATGCCTCCACAAGTATCACGGAATCCAACTTTGTTAAGCAGAAAAACTTCATAGCAAGCTTAGTCGACAGATACAGTATTGGGCCAAACGGTGTGCAGATAGGATTTATCTCGTATGCCACTGATGCTAAATTAATTTTCAGCCTTAACAGCTACAATTCGGAGAGGGAATTGAAGGCCGCCATCAAAAAGGTGCATTATAGAAACACCATAGAGTTTGTCTTTAACTTCACAACATCTATTCTTGTAGCAAAGTGTCATGATGAGACTTTGCTCATCATTATTATTTACCAAGCTAAATCAAAACTTCATAGCTTCTTTTCGGATTGATTTACACTGCATTATACGGAAAAAATACCGAGATATGTAATACACTCTTACTTGTTTGACAGGAAATGAACGGTAATTGTTAAAAGAAAGTGCATGCACAACAACTCTTACAAATAGTCTTTAGCAATAGAAGTATGGATATAGCATCATTCAACAATATGAAACAAGTACAATGAACACGTGTATATAATTAAAGAATCATTCATAAATGCTTTCAGGTTCACTATGAGGGTGGCGACACATCAACCGATGATGCTTTAGACCTGTTGACAAGGGAAGGTTTCACACCAGCTGCAGGTGCACGGCCATCTCTTCCTAAAATAGCGGTCGTCATTACAGACGGGTCACCGCAGAACCAGCCCAGAACTGTGGAAATGGCGACAAAGGCGAAGGCGCAGGGTATTACTATCTATGCCATCGGTAGGTTTCTTCAAATCTAATAACATATTTAAATAAGATTTCCTAAAATTGAATAAAGGAAAACAACTGTAGATTTGTGTATTTTTTCATAGATGAAGTTTTAGTTAGAAAAGGCCTGGTCGCCTTTAATGATCATATTGCTATTCTTTACAACAGCAACTGTATCGGGAAAAAAAATTTCCTTACCTCTTAAACTAATTGTGTAGGCTCAGAGCTTAAAATCTTAAGTAAAAATAGGATACCATGAAAATAATTTATTCAATAATGGTATCATATTTCATAGTTAAGACAAAGATTAGGAAAATATGTATTAGATATAGTAGACCCAGACTGATATATCACAATTTCTTTGTATAAACAATTGGTACTTAAAGCACTATACATGTTGTCAATTTAACGTCACACCTTGTCCTTTAATATAATTTGGTGTCGTTATGCCGCGAGCTTCTTCGTCAGTTTGTAAGGAAAGAAACTTTAATCCTACGTACAATGCCCATCGGTAATCTCGAACATTTCCTTTTAAACAACATACACTGTATATTTTCTGTGTCACCTTCGACATAAAGACACATTCTGTTATTTTCATCAAAACAAGTCATGATAGTTTGACATAATGAGTCAAATGAAATGTTTCATGAAATCTTTTAATTGTTCTGTAATAGTATACTCTCAATTTATTACATAGGTATCGGTAGCAGCGTAAATATGAATCATCTCAAGGCCATTGCATCCTCCCCTGCAGAATATTACACCTTCATGGTGAATGACTTTTCCGCATTGATAGAGCACGAAGACATTCTCATCAAGAAAACATGTTCTGGTTAGTATATATGTATACATCCGTTGAGGAGCAACATTCGGGCGATTGTTTTAATGACTTGGTAACGAAATGATAGCGTAATCAATAGTAAGAGTAGGGGAGATGATAACGTTACTACCTATAAGTTATCACGTCTCTAAATAATTACGTTAATGGCAATTTAGTAACGGATTAAATAATTTTACTAACATATCCTGCATAGATATCAATGTATACGCATTTACATATATATATAACCAATGGACGACGGATTCCCGAAATTAAACAGGTATACTTCAAATAGATCAATGTTAGTTTGATAATGCTATATGTATATATTCATGACCTTGTTTTGTTTTACTTGCAGATACGGTACCAAATGGCATGATTGCGAATGAAACTCTGTCAAATTAAAGAAGTGCGACTGGCTGTTCTTATAGTATAGACATTTTCCTTGAACCTGGCAAGGACATTACACGGAATCGTAGTGCATTTCTACAGGACGCGTAGTAGCCATCTGTCGAGTGAGCATTTGTCTATGAATCTATGTGACATTACTGAGGATATGAAAAGTTGTTTTGGTCATGCCACAAAGGGAAAAAAATATCTGTGTATTAAGTGTACCTCAATATCTAAATAAATATTTAGCAAATCATAATGGAACTCGTTATCTATATACCAGTACGCTCTGTCACTTTCATGAAACAGACATTGTTAAAAGGCCACTGACAGTATGGTTACTAGAGAGCAGAAAAAAATTCTTTAACTGTCCTGTATATTTCCATATTTTCAAACTGATCTAATTAAAGGTTTAAAGACGTGCATGAGGACAATACCAAAAACAGATTTGTTACATATAAACCAAGTAAAATATGATGAAATTATTTGGTATTTGATTATAAGTTTACAATCAGCACTGACTCTATAGTAACAGCATTTATAATAAAACCAGAATTATAGTGGAACAAACCCAGAGCAAAGATCCAGGATCTACAGGAAAAAACATAAACGACTTACACGTATAAACAGTCAGATGGTATTTATAATAAGCTTTCGCAGAATCTGCATATATTCCGAACAAGATACTTTACGACAGCCATGGAAACCCCGCTTTACTAATAAATCTAAACATGACCAGCTGTATCTGCGAACACACCAACCCCAAAGTAACATTTTTAAACGATAACCGTCACCTATAGAAGACAAACAGATCAGTACGTGTTGTTCAGGACACTTTTATATTTTATCATTTAACCAACCTTGCTCCTTTTCTGCAAAAGGTATATTATTGTATTACGTCAAAGACTCGTCAGTGATGCTAAGGGTCTTTTTATGTTGAAGCCAAGGAGACGACGGAGGTAACTCCAAAGTCTAACGTAGACAGGAAGGTCCGCTAGCCCCATAATCAAATTTCTTAATTATCATATATTACAGCTAAATCAGCGAACAAAGACCATTCTGGTTATGTTTACTGGAGGTCCATTCAGAGTCAGTTGATCCACCGCTATATACTCTCCTTACTTTGAGCTCTCCTTACCGAGTGCCATCTACCTTCATTATCAAGCACCCACCTTAGTGTATACCTTTATTCTTCACTTGAACTTCTTCCTTTCTTTCTTCTTTCTTTTCTGTGCATTCTTCATACCGAGTACCTTCTTCACGTGTACTTTCATTACAATGTACCCTCCTTACTGTATACTCTCTTTATTTGGACCTCTTCTCTATATACTCAATTTGCTAAATACGTATTTTCCTTCCCCAGTGCCCGTACACTTGTACCCTCCTCACTACGTACCCTCCTTACTATGTATCCTCTTTTTTACTTGAAACTTTATACTATATACTCTGCTAATATGTACTCTCTTAGTGCAATTATTTGTACCTACCTTTACTGTGCATCCTCCTTACTTTCACCATGTATCTTCCCTAGCATGTACCTTCCTCACCATGTACACCCTGTCTTCATTTACTCTCCTGAACATATATCTTTTTCAGGGTATATTATACTCACCATCTTATTACCACTGTGCGTCCAAATACTTCTTACTATGTACATTCCTCCTCACGTTTTCATGTATTATTGTATTGAAACTTTCTTTCCTGACCTTCCACAGAAGCTCCTAACGAAACAAAATGTGTATTTCAAACACGTCCAAACACTTTTTACCGAGGAAGTGCTATCATATCGCGTACCGATATCGAACCCATGTGTTATGTAGGTACCTATATCATACATTAGCTATATCATCACTGATAAAGTACAGTTATCCTTTCTAAACCAGGCGTTAACGAAGGTTAACCGTTCATTTATGACACCTGCCATGTGCATCTTCGTCGATCGCTGTAAGTTTTGTCATGTTCTCAAATAACAACAAGGTAGACAACAGCAGAACCAAAAGATATACTTACATCGACAAGAATGAAAAGGGTAACAACAATTGAACGACGCGTCTTCCATGCTGCTTAACAAAGAGTATTGCAGTTAATTAGCTCTTTTCCTTTTTATTGAAGTCTTCACACTTTTATCAATTAATTTAGTCATTTATCGGACTTTCCCTTAAACAACTTGTTACAACTATATATACTAAAAGGATAAAGAAACGCAGGGTGAACTTTAAACTAGAAATTAAGTATGATATCGGGCTTCATTTAAAACGAAATTTTGTATACTTACAGATAAATTAAAGCCTAAAAATTTCCAAAGTCTGTATTTTGCATCTGACAATTGGTTCAGGGGTACTAACGATTAAATTGAATGGACCCATAGGATTTTGAAATTGAACTGAGTCATCAATATCTTGTGTGTCCGCCGTTTGCTGTGGTCACGGCCCTTATTCTTCTGGTCATAGAGTTCATGAGAGCGTTAATCCGTCCTATGGGGATGTTGTCCCACTCTTCAATCAGAGCTCTGGTCAACTGCTCTCGAGTAGCAGAGGTGGCTGGCGCTTTCGAACCTGTCTATCCAACTGTCCCAAAGATGCTCGATCGGGGACAAATCAGGGCTATATGGCGGCCAATCTAATGGTTGAATGTTGTTGTTGGCCAGAAAGACTTAGCAAATCCTTGCTACGTGGGGCCTAGCATCATCCTGCTGGAGGGTTAGATTATGCTGCTGTAAGAAAGGGATAACATGGGGTCGGAGTATCTCATCTCTATACTTAGCTGCTGTTAAATTGCCACTAATAACAACCAATTGTGATTTTAACCCGTGTGAGATTCCTCCCCACATCATTACTGAACTGCCCCCAAACCTATCCCTCTCTACTACGCAAGCGTCCGTAAAACGTTCGCCACGACGTCGGTAGACACGTTGACGGCCGCCAGATCGATAAAGACAGAATCGAGACTCGTCCGTGAAGAAAACTTGTCTCCACTTCCTCAGTGGAAACCGTCGTGGAGCATGTGCAGCGACCCAGGCCATACGACGCTGACGTCGAGCAGGGGTAAGGTGTGGACCTACGTAGAGGCGACGTGCTCTTACACCAACTTCTCTTAACCGATTCCTTACAGGTTTTGAACTTATAGGACGCCCATGATTTCCACGAACATTAAGTGCACTCTCAACGGCAGTAAGGCGCCGATTACGCACATGAGAGACGACGATATAGCGATCCTGACGTCGTGACGTTACGCGCGGACGTCCTGACCTAGGTCGATCGGCCAATTGCCCAGTTTCCCGAAGACGTCTTACAAGACGTTCTATGGTGGGAACATTAACACCAAAGTGCCTAGCAACCTGATTTTGCAGCTGTCCTTGCATCAGCATCTGAATAACTTGAGCCCTCTGAACTTCTGTGAGTCGTGCCATTCTTAAAACGAACCAAATTCTCAATTAATTTTAGGGAAGCAGTTGGTCTGTATAAAGACTAACGAAGAGTGACTTGACCAACGCTGCATGAGACCAGAACAACACGGTGCACGTGATTCTTGTTTTTTCCTTTCTCCATTTACCAGAGCTGCGCACTGTACCGTGACTAAATTCTTGATACATGACAAGGTGTAATATTTGAGGCGATGCACTACGTCCCCCCCCCCCCCTCCTCTCTCTCTCTCTCTCTCTCTCTCTCTCTCTCTCTCTCTCTCTCTCTCTCTCTCTCTCTCTCTCTCTTGTATTTTTTAATTGACGAGCATTATCAACGAGGGGGGAATACCAAACCTGTTCCCAATGCTTATTGGAACAACATTTTTTTAATTACCGTTCATATAGTTGTACTACTAACGAACACGCTGTATCAAATTATGGGAAAAGGTTTGGGTGAGGAACATTTTTTTAATAGCGTCACATGAAACTGACCAATCGTCTTTGTGATGTCTACAATTAAAAGCATGATTTCATGGCTGCCTGAAAAGTTCAATAATTCTCATCGAGAAACGAAAGACAGTTGAATACATAACTTAATTTATCTCGGATGAACGATACATTTTCTAACGTAATCAAGGGAGATGAAGTTATCATAGTTTTAATGATTATCAAAATTAACACAAGGAAAAACATGAAGTATACCATAGTGTCCGTTGTGAATGCTGTCAAGAATTTCCTATGGATTTTTTAAGTACACATTTAATATACCAGGCCATGTTGGTATAGGATGAAGATGTTGAGATATAATGTTATATACAAAATGTTATCACATTAGGTCACCTGGAAATACAATTGCTGTACAGACAAAACAAAATGTAGATAAATTATCTGAAATTATCTTGTTTACTAACCATTAAATTATGTGCAAAATGACACTGATACGGAATGAAGTCTGGCTGGCTAATTTCATAGTTGATTTCTATAGAGATTGCTGAGATCAGGAAACATGATACATTTATATAGGTTACACGGATAACACAGATTGATAGGAAATTGATAGCATGTTTACATTAAAAAGCTCGTTTCATCTAAAGTAAGTAATTATGTTCAGTTTGTTGTGTTTCTACATATCAGGAAAAAATGACCAAACGAAATGTTAATTATTTCCAGTTGACTTCATACAACCAGTCAGCATATGAAAGGTCAGTCTAGTATAATGTTACACGTTTATTTCAATTAAATTCATTATTTTATCAAGATATGAGTTAGCTCCATTACGATACATGGAGTGTTGTTTTTTTAGTGTGTTAAACAGTTTCCCTTGATAAACGTTTAGACCAGGAGGGAGTAAATAAGATATTTGCCCTATAATGATTAAATATCCTAACAATTTACGGGAGAAATAAACGTCAGTCTGATCGTGGCTAGTGGTCTGCCATATTAATATTACTGTTTGTGTAATTGTGCTATTTTGGGAGAGTTTCCGTATAAATTAAGATATTCTTAGATTTAAGTTTTAAATCGTCGTGTGTAACGTTTTATCTTATTTTCATTGTTTATTGACAATAACAGTAGGATAATACTTACAAATTTATTTCACAAATCAAACGTTGAACCAAATTGAAATATCAAGGGATGAAAGATAAACATTGAAAACCCCTTTTCTCCGACGTTAACAATAAATAAAACAGCAGTAGATTGCTTATCGGTTAACAAGTATACCATAATTCAATAATATCGCGAAAAATAATGACGATGGCAAAGTTTGTCCAATAACTAGATAAACATACCGCTTTACACCTCCATGATAAGGCGAAGCCAGTAGCATTCCTGTTATTTTGCAAGAAGAGAATCCT